AACAAACAGACAGGCAAACAGAGACAATTTCGAATTTATAATAAACACAATCTTTCACATTTATAATATAAAAATATTAATATTACATTCCGATTGAAGTTGAAGACGGATCCTATAAACAAGCAAATAAATTTCATATGTGGTTAAAATAAACCATAAAACGAAGATTTAGCACCCGAATATGTTTTAATTAAATAGTTCTGGGCCACAAGATAGGTGTACGGATAGCATAGGTGCGTAACACAAAATGGCCAATTAACCTATGCAAATTGAATAATTTTAAAATATTCCCACTTTGGCCCATGTCAAGGGATAACTGAGGTGAAAATCCTAAACTAGTTTGACCCGACACCTCCTCCGCCATTTTGATTATCAAAACTTTCTGACCTGCCAACGATGCCATAATGTCCGGTGTTTAGTGTTTTCGACACACACCATAATGCTTACACTATCTAATATTATCTTATCTGTGGCTTACACTAATTTACTGATACAAATAGAAATTATATTAATTTCTTTTCCGTCTCATTGACATGGGTTTTATATTATTTTTTCTTAATTCGTCTTGAAACTTATGCTTTAATATCTAAACTTTGTTATTCATATTGAGGACGGTGATAGTCCGCTTTCTTTTTTGTATAAACACTACTGCTGTAGTGTATATATAAAGATGTACATTTTTTTTTATAAGATGTAGAAAGTATGTCTAATATGTCTTGATGTCCGGCTTCCTTCCTGAAGAGGTGTACTCTAATTTTTACTATTTTGTTCTGTCTTGAAAGAAACAGGTACACAGTTTTCATACTTTATTAAAAATGATAAGAAATGGTATGAGTCTAAACGATACTCCCGGCCGGTTTTTAAATGTTAAGGAGTACACAGCTTTACTTCTTATGGTCGCGGGTTCGATTCCTCGCACGGTATATTTGTATTCATAGGTATACTTATTTGTAACGGTATGGTTATATATGTATATTATGTATGGATTTACAAAACAAAATAGACATATGTGTATTTACATAGCAGTTAACGATTATATATATACATTATTATAGGTACTACAGACTCTGCTTAGCTTGAGACTAGATGGCGCTGTATTCAGGAATATCATTATATTATTATTATGACAAGCATATTTATTTATCAAATTGGTTCGTATTTCTACTTAATATACAGATAGATTAGACACAATATACCTAACTATAAAAGATACGGTCCCGAAACTTGTCAAATATTTTTATTATTTTAACATCACTTTTTCATTTCTTAGTTTATTTAGGTATTGCACGTGTAAATTGCATTAATAAATAGTGAGTTACAGTCGTTACAGAGTAAATTCGCTCGTTACATTATTTTTAGTGTGTCTGACATAAAAAATGTGATGAAAAAATATTGCAACAGTACGAATTAACTTTGTAACCATTCTCTTTCAGTAAACCCAAATTGGTTTTGGTATTTTCTGTATAAATACTTTTAATAGGTGAACAGCAAAAATGAAATGTGGGTATCTATATATTATGAACTTCATAAAGAAGTCAGTTTGATTAATCTTTATCCTGATTGAACAGCAGGTTAGGTTGCATTATTATTAGTTTGTTTGTTTGTAGCACAATCTTATAAATATTATTTGACATTATTTGTTGTAGCAATGATAAGAAAACAGGACAATTCATACAATAATGTCTAGCTCCAAACTAAACAAAGCGTTTACTATGGACACTAATACCTCAACAAAACCTAGACTAATACAAATAAATTATACTTAAATATAAACACAAATATTTGGATTGCGCAGGAACAAAACCTGCATCGGAAGTAAAGTGGTGTGCTGAGCCGCTAGACTACTCGTAGTGTTAAAATCGTATAAGTCACTAATTACCTGGAATGCAATTAATAAACGGTTTATTTGAAAATAATACTATAAAATACTAATTTTAATACGAATGAATTATTAGTCAACTACTTTGTGTGTCTCAAGTTGCGAAACTAGAAGCAAGTCGGCCATTACTCGCCCGTCTCGTTTATATTAAGTTGAATCTTTTATAAAGACAAGCCGTGTCCCGCGGTCGCGCCCCTAATGATGATTTACTCGCCCCCGATCCCACGGGCCGCGTAATTTTCCCTTACTATTGTACACTACACACTATTGTACTAGCCAAAGTGAAAACAAATGAAGAAACTACAACGTTTAATCATTCATTCTACAGACGTGTCCCTTCTTTATTAAGATTTATTTAGCTTCTTATCGGTAACAACAAAATAGGCGTTCTCCGGGAATAAACTCATTAGTAGATGTAGATATTTAATAGTTCTTTTTGTAATATAATTAGTAATTAATAACATACTGATAACATCATATTGATATATTATTTAGTGTACCTCGTTATCTCATTTCTAAACTAATCTACTCATCAAAAAGTGTCCAGAATAGAATATCTACCTATTGAAGTGTGTTGTCCTTTTCTCACCAATTATTTTCTTTATTTTAATAAATAAGACAATACGCTGTAATAATTAAAATAGATTTGGAGGAAGTTTCTAGAAGAGGAAATATTATTTTACCAAGGTAAACACTACACGAAGTCCTCCATGAGTACCTCTATTTGAACAATTTTTGCCGCCAAATAGCTTGCTTTGACTGTTTCGATTGAACGGTGATATATAGCAATGTATTGCAGTGGCGCTTTTCTGTTTTCTGGAATATCAACAAATGGCGGGTATAGTCCCATGTCGTGATATCTGGTTTTATTCATGTATTAGCTACCACTAATAAATAATATAATATAATAAATACTAAGATTTATGGGTATATTAATCTAACACTTAAATCAGTATAGAATAGAATAGAAAGAATAGAAAATCATTTATTCAAATAAACTTTGTGTGCTATAGTTCCGGAATTCACTTTTACAAAATCTGTTGCTTACTTTTTAATATTAGTACACATTGAACAATAAGTAAGTAACAGTGTTCTGTTATAAAGAGTTAGCACATAAAATCTATTTAAACAAATTAAATTGTACATAAATATCAAGTGAAAAACATACATATGTCGCAGTGCATAGGTAACCAACTGTTTTGTATCTTTTATTGAAGCATGGCTGGGCGCTCGCATGGACCACACCGCCCCTTGTCCCTATTCGACCCGGCTTAATTAACACCGGGTCCGAAGCGAATATTAAATGTTCGCAAATAGACTTATTTGCCGTGTGTTGCCTTTGCCTTACATATACCGAGTACCTACCGCAACTCGACATTAATTGAGATTTCCAGAGCTTTGTTCTACATTAGATTCGGATTGAGATTGGTTTGTTTCTTGTTATGTTTAGATAAAAATCATTGTACACTATATACCTAAACATTTTTATATTAGTTGAAAAATTACAATAAAGAAAAATTGAAATACACATGGATCAGTGTTTGGTAAAAATATGTGAAATCATTATGAGAATGAGGGGTCATTCTCATAATGATTTCATATATTTCGATCGATTGCAAAAAAAATCACATTCAGTTGTGTTGAAGTAGTATCTTCAAGTCGTATGATTTACGCTACGTTGAATTGAGAAACACGTTTTTATAGTCGCTTGAAAAATAACTGTAAGAGCATGTCGTTTGACGCATTGCATACTGCATGCGGAATACATAATAAAACTTGTTTTTTTACATGTACAAAACAATGGTTGCATCTCAAATAATTGAATTGAACATAAAACGTGCAGTAATTGGTTGCAGTCACTCGCTTATGTTGAAACATTTTCAGTTGTTTATTATCTTTTTCTATAGGTACTCTCTTTTATTATTATTTTCAGCTAAATCAAAGAATACTAAGTCTTTGATTTAGCAGAAAATAATAATAACAAAATTGTTCACTTATTTCATATCGCAAATTAAGAATGTAAAGATTCTCTTGCTTGTTTGTTTTCATGCTTTGATCCTTCTTTGTAGCTAAACAATTTGATCCTTAATATTAAGTCTTATAATAGGCTGTTTGGCTAGCGTGGTAAAAAATGTACTCCTATATAAACCCTACCTATAGTACGAAATTGGGTTATAGTAATAATAATACACGAGGTAGATTTTGTACAACTCTCTGTCTCTATTTCAGTTACCAAGCAGCTTGATTTGGAAAATGTCTTTCAATTGAGAATGAAGTTCACACAGATAAGTTACGAGTAGGGAGAGTTACATAATAGATTTCTGGAATGGCAACGTTTGCTCACATGATGACGTGATGTCTGTGGTACTATTCATATACGAATTACCGTCAGTTAAACTGTGGGCTTGTTGTTCAATCTAAGTAAATAAAATTGATTCTAGTTTTATAGAATAATAACTTAATTGGTGTACGTTGGTACCATTCAAACATTAATAGTACACATAGAATTCGACTTATTGAATTAAAAGTCGGATAAACTGCACACTCAAACATTTATTCATGTGAACAGCGACATCTTGTAGAATGTCTCTGTACCACATGGACTGCACACATGTGATGGTAGTGAGGTACATAGTTTGTACATTGTACACCAGAGTGGATCTGCAGGACGTTTAGATATGAATTGATGTTTATTGATTATAAAATATTTTATTTCAACACCTAATGAATAAATAAAAATGTAAATAATTATTTCGTCTTTCTGCCCCGTGCGTCGGTGATCTGATGACGATGCTTGGTTTGTAAATTAATGAATAGTTTCATATAAAATAAATACTACCAATTAATGTCTATACATATTATTATAATGAGAGTTTTGACAAGTAGATATACCTATTTATTCATTAAGTAGTTAATTCTAATTTTTTATAGCCAAACTTTTCCTTTTCCATAGATACAATTTATCAGAAACACCATTTGAATAAAGAACAAATAGGTTCTATAAAATAGATGTAATAAAATTATTATTTAAATCTGACTATCACGTGGATATTGGTGACAAGCTTTGCAATGCGCATGCGTGACTCAGGCGGCGAGATTTAAAATTAGAACTGTTGCCGGAATTTCACAGTGCTGTTTTAAACGTATTTTAGCACATTCACAATGATTTGTCTATGATAAAGTAGATCGATGTTTTTGGATTTTCGGTTCTATAATAAAATGAATGGTATTAAATGTATATACACAATTGCGTGTAAGTAACTGTGAGTCCATAAGACATTGAAAATGCGTGTAGTTGGACTGATACTCGTATTATTGATGTGGAAACAAAGTAAGTGGTATTCGTTTTAAATTACAAAACATTATTTATTATAACTGGCTGCTTTATTGAATAAGGTTGTGTACTGAATCTTGATTCCATCTCTTTATAAGTGTGTAATTTGTTACTTTGTTTGTATTATGTAGATACTTAAATCTACATTAAACGTATTTACATAACCGTGAATTAAACATTTGATAATAGGATAAAGGTATTGTCAAGTCGACGCCGGCGTCGTGATGTTGATATTTCGATATTTTTCTAAGTGTATTTAGAAATCTAAGTGACAGAGAATAAGATACGATTTTGCACATACTTACTTTCTTTATATTAATTTGGTTTATTATCTATTTAATAATTTGTTAGGCTAATCTAAGTTAATTATTTTAATAGAGCACCAAGAAATTTAAATGGAAACATTTTGGAATAAAGAACAATTACATTAAACCTTCCCTCGTATAAGATATACTCCTACTTATTATAATTACGTATGAGTAGGTCGCAAATTTCGTCTCAAAAGTACTAAATATATTTTGTGGAGGTTTTATGTGAATAAAATGACAGACTAAAATGGAATTTCTATAATTAGTCACTTACAAAAAAAAATATTATTATACCTATATATTTATCATTTAGAAACTGGCATGAATGTAAATTAAAATTAAACATATTCCGATTTTTCAAATTATATATTATTCATTAAATTTAATTAAGTTAGTATGCATTGTTTATCAAATTACGAAAGCGATTTGTCGTAACTGTAAAATATTTCTATTACTTAAAGTTGATGACGGTGTTGACTGCATAATCACTTAGACATAAGCATAGCGTAAAGATATGTCCTGAGTTATACTCATGACTATATACCATATGGTGAAAACATAGTCGATTGTAATTGCGTTATGTTGAAAGTATAATAGGTATTTTATCTTTACCACTTTTCGTCATGCATAAAACCCATATACCCTATGAACCAATTATGCATTGTCTTTTTAGTAGAGGTTATATAAGATAATATAATATGTTATACGTAAATAAATATATAGTAAGATTCGTAAAGAAGCCTAAAGTGAAACAAAATACAACTTGGCTTGTATCGAGACATAAACAATCTATAGAGGCAACAGATGCTGCGTAAAAATCACAGCAGAAAAGGCACCTCGCGGGGCTCGCAATGTTTTTGACAGTCGCATCACGTTTTATTGCCTGTAAATCGTGATTTATTTCAACATGAAACTGGATTGTTATTTATATCAATGAGGATCATGTGCCCCAAGGCGTCACTGGTTGATTGTTGTTCTTTGAACTTTGTATCTCAGAAGTGCCCAAATTAATAATATAATACATAACTTCACATCTATTTATCGATGAATGGTTTGATAGGCGTCAAAGTTATGCGGTGAGTTTAGAGCCAATATTAGTTTAGGATTATGTACCTCTTCTTCTTCTCGACTATTCATGAAGAATAAATTTTCTATACACATGTGGCATAATTATTGTATGTAAACTTGAACAATCCATACAATGCTATAGATTATAAGCAAGTTCGTGAAAATGATAAATTCCTCCGCTAATGTGGAGTTTCATAATAGTCCTTGTTTAGTTACTAAGTTTCCAAAACTAGAAATTAGAACTTTATGTTAAATCAAAGAATCAGAGAATCTGCTATCCTAGCAGTGAAGAAAAATCTCAATCTAGAAATATGATATTTTTTATTAATTTTAATAGTAACTAATATTAGTTCATAACATGAAATATAAGTAAATAACGAGGTACAGGTATGTCTAGTAATTCTAAGATCAACCATTTAGAATTACATTCTAAATGCGATACTAAAAGACTTAACAGTTATTTCCCATGCGATGAACTTAGCAAACTATCAATATCATTATCATAAAAATATTGACATAAATATTGATTCTAGTAAGAATCCTTTTATTTACAATAATTTAAATATGACTGCAGATTTAAACTGCTGAAAAAGACAAAGGGAAAGCTATCAGAATTGAAAATTGTTCACCAGAACATACAAAGTTTTCTCGGCTGTGAATTAATTATTCAATTGTTTTTAGAAAAAAATAATATAGATGTTCTATGTTTAACTGAACATTGGCTCAAAGTGAGCAATATGATGTTAAGCTTAAACAATTATAATATTGTCAGCTGCTTTAATAGAAAAATAGTAAATAGAGGAGGTTCCATGATATTGGTGAAAAATAATATAAAAGTAAAAGAACGTAGTGATATTGGCAATCTTTCCGTTGAGTGTTGTATTGAAATTTCCTGCGTGGAACTAGAAAATTATATAGTTATGTGTGTATATAGACCTCCAAATAGTGATTATAATTTATTTAAAAAGGGATATTTTAAAAAGAGTATTTAATATTAACAAAAAATTTATAGTGTGTGGTGATTTCAATGTTGACATTTTATCACATAACACCACAAAAACTAAATTAATGAGTTTATTTCAATCTTTTGACTTGAGTAATGTCTTCCACGAACCCACTCGTATCACAGCCACGTCTGCTACTTGTTTGGATAACATATTTAGCAACAGTGAATATTTAGATAAAATAATATTAAACAACCTTCCTTCTGATCACTGTGGTCAATTAGTAATTTTTCCAAATCACGTAAACAAAATTAGGAAAATTAATTTATTAAAAAGAGACTTGACTAGTTATAAGATCAATAAATTTAAAATATCAGTTCGTAGTAAATTAGATTTTTGTCCTCAATCTGATGAACCAAACAAACTTTATACAGATTTCTTCAATATTGTTTCTTACGAGTATAATAAGGCTTTTAACAAAAAAACTATCAGTATTAGTAACAAAACAAAATTTTCAGAATGGGCTACAAAGGGAATTCTTAAAAGTAGAAATATATTATTTGATTTATATGATCAAAAAAAATACCGTTTCGATAGTACATTCGTAAATTATGTAAAAAGATACTCAAAAACTTTTAAAAAGGTATGTAATGTAGCAAAGTCTAATTATCTAAATAAAAAAATTAAAGAATCCAAGGATAAGATTAGGACAGTGTGGAATATTATTAATAAAGAAACTGGCAAAGTTAAAAGTCCATATAATGATTTTACGTTAAATTATAATGATAAACTAGTAACGTCCACAAAAGAAATAGTCAATATTTTTGAAAAATTTTTCGCTAGTATTCCAACTGATATTACGTCCTCTTTGGACTCTTCTCCAAGTACAGCTAAATCATTCCTTATTGACAATGTTGCTTCGTGTCCGGTTACATTTAAATTTACATTTATTGACATTGCTACAATTACGAAAACATTTAAACAATTAAATTTAAAAAATACTGAAGACCATTGGGGCATGTCTGTTAAAGTTATTAACACCGCTATAGATGTTATTGCTCCATATTTAGTAACTATCTTCAATAAATGTATTTTTGACGGTGTTTTTCCCAATTTAATGAAACATAGTAAAATAACTCCACTTTTTAAGTTAGGGGATAAAACTGAAGTAGGTAATTATAGGCCCATTTCTATCTTACCAGTACTAAGTAAAGTGTTTGAAAAAATTATGCTCAATCAGATGCTTCACCACTTTAAAATAAATAGACTGCTTCACAGTCGGCAAGTTTCACGGCCGGTAAATCAACTACTGACGCTGGTGTAGCTTTAATGAAACACATTTTTGACTGTTGGGAGAGGTCACAGGATGCTATCGGTGTATTCTGTGACCTCTCAAAAGCATTTGATTGCGTTGATCATGAAACACTCTTACTCAAATTAGAATATTACGGTATTAGATATGAAGCACTATGCATGATGAAATCCTATCTAAATAATAGAATGCAAGTTGTTGAAATAAATGGTGTAAAGTCTGAGGGAACTAGTATTAAAATGGGTGTTCCTCAGGGCTCTATTCTAGGTCCTTTCTTATTTTTAGTTTACATAAACGATCTTCCTTATATGGTAGAAAAGATAGCTGACATAGTTCTGTTTGCTGATGATACTTCATTAGTATTCAAAGTCAATCGACATATTGATGATATGGACGAAGTAAACGGTTCTCTCTCTTATGTTTTAAAATGGTTTACGGCAAATAATATGCTACTAAATGCAAATAAAACTAAATGTATCAAATTTACTCTCCCCAATGTAAGGCCGGTAGATTCAAAAATCGTATTGGACAATAAATCTATTAATTTTGTTGACGATACTGTATTTCTAGGTATCACATTAGATTCCAAGTTGCAATGGGGTGCTCATATTACTAAATTGGCGAGTCGACTTAGTTCTGCCGCTTACGCGGTAAGAAGAATTAGACAATTAACAGACGTGGCAACGGCTAAACTTGTCTATTTTAGCTATTTCCATAGCATTATGTCGTATGGTATTTTGTTATGGGGCAAAGCAGCTGATATAAATACAATATTTACTTTACAAAAGAGGGCCATTCGCTCCATTTATGGTATGGGTTCCAGGGAGTCATTGCGAGAGTGTTTTAAGGAATCAAATATCCTCACCGTTGCTTCTCAATACATTTATGAAAATATCATCTATGCCAGAAGGAATATAGACAGTTTCAAAAGAGTTAGTGATTGCACTAATAAAAGCTTACGTAACAATAACAAACTGATTTTACCTAAATGTCATTTGGCTAAAGTTAGTAATTCGTTTTATGGGAATTGCGTAAGGTTTTACAATAAAATACCAGAGTCTGTTATAAATCTGCCAGAAAAAAGATTTAAATGTCAAATAAAACAGTTCCTTTGCAAAAAAAGCTTACTATAAAATTGAAGAATTCGTTAACGATAATAATATTTTTATAGAAAAACTTTAAATCTATAGCACTGACAATATTATCTGATTACATTAATAATGAGTGCGTAGCGACTTCTATGTTGATTATCGCATGCCTCTTACTTGTTATACTGTAATTATTTATATAAAAAAAAAACATCTATTAAAAAGAGCAACACACAAGTTTCTTGCTCATTCTTCTTGTGATGAATCTGCATTCCGAATGAGTGGTAGAATCAAAATATGACTATTCAAAAGTGCTTGTAATGAGTTTATTTGAATAAAGATTATTTCTATTTCTATTTCTATCTATTAGTATCGAATTCAAATGAGCCAATCGCCACGACATATATCATTTATTTAGTTTTGAAATTTACTATTAAAATAAACGAAATCTAATTTCAAACAGATTCCGCAAACAGCGTCCGTATAGTAGAGCTACGTATTTCAACTCACGCCGCTGAAGGCGGGGAGGCATTGCTGGGCTGTCAGTTCGACATGGAGGGTGACAGCCTGTACTCGGTAAAATGGTACAAGGACGGCCGAGAGTTCTACCGATACGTGCCCATGAACGTGCCCCCCATCAGTCACTTCCCGGCGCCAGGCGTTATCGTAGATGTGAGTTGATCGAGAGAGCCATTTAAAATGCATAGCTTAAATTCTTGTACTATTACTATATTCCGTACAGTATTTAAAAATATATACATGCTAGCTAATGCGCGCAACTTTGTCTGCATTACATTTTTCCCGTATTTGCTACCGGTATTTGTGATTACCGTTTGCAAATTATATTTTACAAAATTTCAATGTTCGGCACATTGAAATTTGCAAACTATACCTCTTTATATAATATTTGAATAGATATACTATTTAGTTTATGGTCGCGAGATCATCTTCGTGACTATTTCACAAGTATTAACTTAGTATTAAAATTAGAGTACTGTTTCTATGTAATTAATAAAATCTATCAAGGTACACAACATCGTCTACATAAGTACTATCTCGTCTATTTTACCGCTAAGCAATTTCACTCGTATGCTTCGAAATCAAAAATCATTTATTCAAGTAGGACATTTTAGCCGTTTGTGAACGTTAAGTATAAGATATTGCAGTGAAATTACTTGGTACAGAGCATGATACTCATGATGTCTATTTGCTATCCTAATTCTTACAGGTAAAGACTCATAATAAATAGACAATAATAGAAATATTAACTTTAATGAAGGTATGAAATAATTTTAAGTGCGTTCGTTGAAGTGGATTCAAAATTACAACATAACTTTGTTGCTTCGCAATATGATCTTAAAAGTTTACGTATTTTATTTAGTAATTTCATTTATATAATGTATAAAGCTATATGAATTAAAATTATAATAATAATAATATTGTACTAAATTAAAATATAGTACATTAACTTTATATAATATTTAATTATTTTATTTTCTATAGATGGTTGATCGTTAAAGTAAACAACATCAAAATCTTACTCGTATACAAGTAATCGACCTTGTCGAATGGGTTTCACTCGCATTTAATTATTTTAGTGCGAGCCATTTTGATGTACATTGTTGTCAATATTTGTGGGCAGCATTGTATTCATCGAGTTTTAATTATGCTGTATGCATCGATCATACTGAAATTCAACATGTCACCACATTTACCGATTTCAATTTGTCTATCACTATCTATCGTCGGGATTTTTTATATAAATAAAAGCTAAACTAGCTGATGGTAAATCTATTTATTCACGTGAACACCATAGATATCTCATCACTATGTGTCTTCCACTCTATCACTTCTGTATTGTCACTTGTGGAGACTAACGTGTCATGTTTTCGTATTTTATAATTTCAATCTCGTATCTCAGGGCTTCTTCAAAAAGAGATACAGCTGATAAAGTATGCTGCTACGTATCAGCAGAAAGACGTCTGATAGAAGTCCCCATGTTGTACAAAGCCTACCTGAGTAAAACGATACCTCATATTTTTTTAATCAGGATTACTTCAATTCTATTCTATATACTACCTATCAATTTTATAGTATTAATTTAAATATAATATTAATTGTTTCCAGCTGGCCCGTTCATCAAGTAATGTGGTGGCTTTGGAGAACCTGACGCGTGAGTCTGCAGGCGTTTATCGTTGCGAGGTGTCCGGAGAAGCTCCGTACTTCGCTGTTGTCAACAGCGAGAAACGCGTCACCATATACTGTTAGTTATTTTTTTGTAATCCTCACCGATATTCTATTATCTATGTAATGTAATGCAATATTGTCTAGAGCTCGAGTTATAATATACAAGCCAGTGCCTGCGACGTTCTTCGCGAAGTCTTTATTAAACAGAATGAAAAGTAGCCTATATCGAATCTAGTCGCAGACTAAACCGCAATAGGCCTCAGGACCATATCAAATAAACAATGTATATGTAAAGTAAGTAAATAAGATATTTGTGACACATACCGACCATGCCAACAAACTTATTACTTAATGTTCAATTCTGACAGATTGTAGTACACGAAAAAACAAAAAAAAACTAATCAAATCTGACTATGTTCAATATTTTTATTTTAATATAAGGTTTTTAAGTTAATTTATAGAGAAGGTTATACCTGTTCCATAGATACAAACATATTATTAACCATTGATATGAAAAGTTTTGAAGTAGAATAAATAATAATCGTCGATTTATAAAACGTTTGAAAATGTCAAATGTCCATTTAGTTACTTGATTATTAGGATGCCAATACGTTGTTAACTAGTTCTTCCAATTTCACTAATTTAAATATCTACCTACACTTTCATTTCAGTTCTTCCTAAAAGCGGTCCAAAAATCACCGGACTACAGAAACAGTACGAAATTGGTGATGAACTGCTTTTAAACTGCACTTCTCCACCATCCCGGCCCGAAGCACAATTAAAATGGATGCTGAATGATGAACCAGCACCTGAAGAATACCTTATGGGACCATGGCACAAGATTAGCATGGAAAATCCCGAGTCACCAATGCGAACGAAATTGAGACTGAGTTTTATTGTAACACCGGAACATTACGTTGATGGAGTAATGACGCTTAGAGTAAGTATTAAAGTTAATGTATTTTTACTGTAATATTTGTCATCCATCAGCTATTTTATTATTTTACTACGAAGGACGGGTCTTTTTTCAAAAGAGGACGCGATTTAGACTTGATAGTCAAACATACAATTATATGTATATACATAGAACTCTATATTCCGTATTTGGCCTCTATCTGGGCCATTGTGCGTGTAGGATATGGACTACCATTAAAATTATCATTACTCAGTATAAAATAATAATATTATACCAGTTACCACTTAATTAAAGTTGCTGAATTAAGGTTAAAAATAGTATAATTAGGATGGATATATAGAAATTGTAGAAATGTACTTGACTGGAAATTGATAATGAATGGAAATATTGCTGTGTATGTGTGTTTTCATAAAATACATAGCTGATAATATTAGGTTGTTCGGAAAGTCATTTCGTTTTTTCGTTATTTTTGCACTCAAGTTTACACTTAAGCCGTATCAGCTTCACCGGGCATCCCGAGCGTGGTGCATCTTCGACATCAAAATTGCCGAAATGAAATTCAGCGAACCAATTCTGGCACAGGCGTACTGTTAACATACCTTCTTCATACACATCGGTCAATTTCTTCCCGTGATACCCCATACATTAGCATTCCGAAACAAGATCTTATATCGCCATATTCTGTAATTTCACTACCCTACCTCTCTCTCCAACCTGAACTCGGCTTACAAAGCAGGCTACATAGTGACTAATATAGATGAGGGACATCCACGCAGATGTCTTTTAACAAAATCTCTGGTATATGTTCAACGGATGTAGTATATACATATTCGGCGTATCCATAGACTATATATAGACATTTTTCTAATTTGCCTGGTGCGTTACCCAGTGGTTGAAATTCGATCAAAATTAATTCAAATTATAAATTTGAACTACTGAATAATACTAAAACAATTTGAATTGTCATTACTATTATTTAGTGTACGTGAATATATATTCCTCCTTTTATTAGACAACAAACTTTAACAATAAAGAAAAGAGTATATTGCGTGATTATGCGTGAGTCGAATACATAGTGTTTCATTTTTTTATAGATTTTATATTGATACATATTTAAAAAGAAATAGAATTCCACACTCCTTGTCTATATAAACTATAAGTGTGAAATTTTCGTAAAAAAGGTTAAAACTGTTTTGCATGAATTTATGTATTATTTTTTACTAGAAATATAAATGCCCTGATACAATGATCATCATCAATAATATCCGGCGGACAAACAAAGTGTTCGTTTTCCATTATTTGATCTCACATTTCATTTCCAATATGTGACCGGAACGACCGGAGCACATCGTTCAATCATCTGAATTATAAATATTTTTAGATGTTGTCGCTTCGATTTACTGCAGAATAATTTTATTTAAAAACATGATTATTTTTTTATTATTTTAAAAGTAGGAGCTAACAATTTATTATTTGCACGGTACCGTTGTGAATTCTGATGATGATTTTTTTAATCAATAGAGTTTACTATTAATTTGGTAGCATACTAGTTTTATTAAATAATATGTAATACTTTCACAACACACATTACATACATTATATTAAATAGATTTCAACGAAGTAGGGGGTAAGCCGACCACCGTCTATGGATTTCATATGTTTGGTTCTTGAACTTTCATACACTGAAGAGTCAAAAAAAACAATTGAAATACAAAGTTATTGTTAATAAATTTTAGTCTCATGATCTCTGGAAACGAAGTCAGGTGGTAAACTTTTACACAGCTACTCAATGTCATTATTATGTACAGATCTATATATAAATGTTATGTTAACATAATAATTTATATACGTTCTTATTTATTTTCAGTGTCAAGCAACAATAGCACCTCTATATCAGCAAGAAGCGAATTATACGTACTACCTCACCACACCTGCCTTTACAACTATGGTCGCTCCGTTAGATGATCCCGAGCAGCTGAACACTAATGAGAGCAGTTTAAGTAATATCTATAATAATACAATATTATAATAATTATGCACGTTACTCACCACATTCACGTCCTTAGTGGTCTATCGCTTTTGTACATCTTTTTACATTCGATGGCCACGGGTTCGATTCCTCGTTTATATTCTGACGACCTCGGTGGTTTAGCGGTCTCGGTTGGCACACCGCTTTACGTCCGATGGTGGCGGGTTCGATTTCTCGCACGGCACAAACATTTGTATTCGTGAGTATGAGTATAAATATTGTTTGTATCGGTCTGGGTGTTTTCTATGTATAATATGTATGTATTTACAAAAAAATATATCTATGTATCTGTATTAGGTGTCTAGTACTCATAACACAAGCTTTAGGTAGCTTAACTTGGGTCTAGATGGCTCTCTGTGTATTGTCCTGAGATTATTATTATTCATGAGTATGATTCTTTGTATACGTCTGGGTGTTTTCTAAATAAATACATTACGTATATTTTTACTAAAAAACAAATCTAAGTATTTATATCAGTTATGTAGGTATAAACAAGCTCTGATTAGCTTGGACCTAGATGGCACTGCCTGAATTGTACTGGTTTATAATAATAATTATTATAATAATGCATTTTATTATATTAACTCTTGCGTAATACAAAATGATTCAACATTATTACTCTTTCATATCAAATGCATTCTAACTTAATTTTATTCGGTATGCCTATATAGACGTTAATTCCATGATTCCATTACAAATTCTCCCGTAAGTGTCAATATTGGGGATTGATTTATCTGAAGGATCTAAAGCCGAATATTTGTCACAGTTATATATTTCCTTTGTTTTTAGCAGTTATAACAGCTTTGAGTATCGGAAAGCTATGTAATAAGATCTATCTGTGGAATAATCTGTAATTATGTGGGTGCCATTTTGTGTACTAATAAACATTTCGTTTTGCACAATATAGTTTGCTATTTATATATTTTAATAATACATTTTATTTCCAGATAAATCTGCAACATCGGCAAATTCATTCAGGACACAGTTGTCATACACCTTGTCACTGGTATTATTTATAATAATTACACTTTTATAATCATTTTCATTAAATATATTAATTGAGGACCAAACTATCAGAACTAGCAGTTATAAAAATGGCATTTATTGTATTGTTTTACTTAAAATACTAGTAATTTCTTGGTGCTACATATTGTAATTGATAGGTAAAAAGTAGCAATTTATTGTGGCATTGCACATGCATTCTGTAATAGGAATAATGTAATATATCTTACTAGTTACTCGCCCCGGCTTCGCCCGGGTGTACAAGTATTGTACATTCATACGCCTTCCTCTTGAATCACTATATCAATTAAAAAAACAGCTTCGAAATCCCTTGCGTAATTTTAAAGATTTAAGCATACATAGGGACGGACAGACAGCGACAGCGACTTTGTTTTGTACTATATATACATATGTAATGATGGGCGTTTATCGTCATCATAAGCTCACCGCTGTTCACTGGTGGACATAGGCCTCTCCAATGCACGCAAACTCAAAAGGACATCTTTTTGTGAGAAGTCTTCTTTCGAAATTTCACATTTGATTTCTTATGCGATCATAATCCATATGTTGCTTTCATATTTAAACACAATAAAATTTCGAATATATGAGTATTAACAGTACTAGTAGCATTTTTAATTATTTTAATGTAATTTTACTACTTAATAGGAAATTGTTAATTTTTTAATAAGTACTATTGTTGGAACAAATTAGACAAGAGCAATACATTTTACTGTTAATTATAAATAAGTTAAAACATGTTTTATGATTATTTATTTTATTTACAATATCAATGTCCATTATTTTATACAATTCGTCAAGTGAAGATTCATTCATGTTTACACTCTTGAATATCAGTATCCAGATCCTCGGGGCCCATTTGGTGTACCGCTGGGATATCCCTCTTCGCCACCAACTTGACCTTGAGGGCCGCCGGTTGGGTAACCATTACCACCTCTCTGATTATTACCGTTATTATTACTTTGCGGATAGTTTCTATTACTACTTTGGGGTCCATTTCGGCTACGACTTGCACCATTCTCTGGACGACCTCGTGGATATCCCTCATTGGTACTTTCTGGGCCGCCTTTCGGGTAACCCGTATCTCTACCGCTGCCTCTTCCATCGTCTGATTTATAACCTTCATTTTGTGGCCCGCCATTAAGCGTTTCCAGTCTATTATTATTACCTGTTGCGTATTCTGGCTCATTCTCAAACCTTTTCTGTCCAGATCCCGGGAAATCACCTAATCCATTGTCTCCAGGCCTGGTCCTTGAGTATCCCATAAAATCTTGGTCAGTTAATCCCAATCCGCCCTGTGAAGCTTGTTGATATTTTCCAGGCCTTCCACTTTGCTGTGTTTCTTGGGAAAAACCAGAGTTATCGTTTTCTGGATAACTAGATCCTGGACCACCTCGCTGATATCCTTGATCATCAGGTTGGGATGCTCTATTGCCTAAAATATATACATATTATAAATAAAAGACAAGTAAAGGTATTAAATTTTTTAAATACATAATTTTATTCTTTCAATAATTTTTATTATTATTAACGTGTTTTTTTTATTATTCTTACATTTATTAATGGACTTTTATCATATTATAATAGTTAAATAAAACTGCAAATATTATAGGCTTGTGTATGGATTACATTAATTCTTGTGCATCAGTAATATCAGAGTAGAATACACTGTACTATAAAGACATTGAAAAAATAAGATAAGCTACTATGTTATTTTTATGTTAAATCAAATTAATTCGTAAACTTATATTACCAGAACCCGAACGCAAGCTAGAACTGCTTCCGCCACCTAAAATCAGAAAAGTAATATAAAATCAACCAACATTATTATAAAATATGTTAATGAAATCAAATATAATAATTGAAAGGGGTTCGCAGGATTTAACTCGTGTAATGAACAAACCCTCATATCGTATTTGAGGCTTATATCCTTGCAGACCGGCCTCGTATTCAACAATCTGTTTCCTACCATCAGGCAGTTCTACGTTATATTCGCCGGTGGCGGTGTCTCCGTCACGTTGTTCTGAATGACCAAATTTAGTACCTGTCTGGGCATCGTCGACTTCATAATTAAACTCGTATTTAGCTGGTTCCTGAAACATAATATTTATGTCAATGTTAGTATTTGTTTAATTATTATAACATGATATACATATCATTAAAAATTCTTACATCAGATTCGTCATTGCCGAAGTTCGATCCTCTCTGGTTACCTGATCCTCTGCCACCGGTATTAGATCCAAAATTAGGAGTACCGTATGATGATGAAGGTGGACCTCTAAGTGATTGTTTTCCGCTAAAACTATCGGGTTCTTCATTTGGTACAGAGTATGAAGAAACATCCCCAGTTTGTGGCCCGCGAGTTAATTGTTTTTCATTATTTGGGGACATGTAATTTCCACTTGGTGGAGGTCCATAAGAACTCTCTGGTCTGGGACTAAATTCTGAGCCTCGTGGACCAAAACTGTTATCTCTATTATTAGATGGTCCATTGAAGTCATTATTGGCAGACCCGGCGGTTGGCCTTCTGTTATTCGATTCACTAAATGGTGACTGAGCCGGTCTTCGTTCTGGCCCATTTCTCTGCTCAGGTACTCCATATTGTGTGTTAGGCGCGTTGTTTCTTTGAGGTCCACCTTGAGATAGCGACCGCGATTCAGATTGTGAGAATCCTCTAGATCCTTGTTGTAAGCCTTGGCCTCGTGGGGGACCATATTGGGTGTCTAAAGTATTTGATGGTCCTCCCTGACCGGGTGGAAAGTATGAATCTTCAGGTTGATTCCGATTTCTACCCTGTTCCGGTTGATTAAACGAAGTACGTTCATTAGTACCTGGAGGTCCATATTGAGCAGATGGTCTACCACTATTTCTAGAGGTAGGAGGTAGATAGCTGTTTACCGGCGGCTCACAGTTAGTTGTAGACCACACCACAGCAGTAATAAAAAGTATATGCTGGAAAAAAAATAACATCATTTAATAATGGCTTACGGGACTTAGGCTGAACATTTTAAGATTAAACTTACTAAAATCATTTTTTAATATTGTCAGCAACGAGTCTATTTTCCTATCAAGTTCAAAGGATGTGTTACATTAAGGTTTGACTATTGAATACGTCAAAATTGAATAGTCTGAGTTTATATAGGCAGATTTCAAATGAAGAGAGCGTGATATCAAAAGTAACGCAACAGGCGCACGCGTGTCGTGGCTTTGCTTTTAATTTCGTGCATCTGCCGGGCCGTCACCGTGTCGCCGTCGCTTCGTCGCTGCCTGTCGTGAGATCCAACAGTATACTCAGCTTCGTATAACACGTAGCCTCGAGGAACACCATAATTAGGACAACGAATTACAAATAATTTCTATTCGAGTCTGTCAACATAGTACACAATTCTATATATAGTTACAGTATTTAGATAAAATCACCCCGTAATAGTACCTATTAAAATTTTATTTGTCTTATATTAGTAATTTTATTTTAGATGATTTCTAACTATATGTAAGATTCTGTTTAGGATTTCCTCATCTAATGTCATAAGTACTAAGGTTTGTTACAGTTTTTATATCGAGTAAAACTATCTAACTTATCCATCTTAGTCTCACCTATTTCAGCCCCCAAGCTTTGTTTTGTTAGATTTATTTCGGTTGTAAGGCGAGGAAAAGCAGAGAAATTACAGGATAAGAGGCATATCAGTTTTTCAAAATCGTCTGATTGATATCACGGACGTCATCTTCATGTGATGTACTTGGTGCTGTTCATGTAGCTAGGTACACAGGCGATGGTTAACACACACCATGAGGTTGGCGTAACTTGTTTGTTATTCTAATTATGTATGTAAAAAATAAAGAACCGCAAAAATGTCCTTAGATTGGATCCAATTATATGATTCCAATAATATAAATTTTAATTGTACTTAAAAAGGAAACCATTGTCCCAATACCAACATATTAAATAATGTATAACTTTATAAAGCTGACTGTACGTGTGGCTGGTAATGACTTATTTTATGTGACAAAGCACGAATTATTGGATTCATACACCTCTGCACAGAATTGAAATGCTGTTGCAGTACAGTTACTATTGACTATAATAATATGGCATAATATTGAATGGCATTAAATGTTTCCAACTCATTAACTAATGGCCATACCGTCTTATATTTGTTACTATTGTTAAATAAATAAGCTATAATGTATTTATTCCTATTATTGCATTAAGATACTTAAGTTATGGTCTTGAGCCCAACGGTAGAGGACATTTTACTGGTAGCTTCCTACCAACATCCATAATCCGTTTTTTTTTCGTTAATTACGCACAGCCAGTACAAGTAAAGGTAATGTAGTACGAGTTCTAACTATGGGCTAACTGAGTGAATCTCAAGCGTATTGTTAGTATGCCTATGTCATTATTATTGACTATTCATATATTCTAGTTCCAAAGTCTCTTTGTGGTAACAAGGAAAGATATTAGAGATGTTCTTGTTGCACTTCTATATATCTAGGTAAGAGCGGACTAGAGAAAGACGTCACAATTTTTTATTGTGCCGAGGTAGCATTTGTAAAATGTCGTTTACGTGAGAATTTCAGTCACACTTATTTTAATCGCCAAGCGGCTTCCTTTGTAGAACATTGGTAAAGTACTTGGTACTAATTGGTGGATTCCTCGGACGATGCAAATATTTGTATTGATGCAAATATTTACTATCAGTAAATATTTCTCTCAGTTTTGTAGGTTCTCCTTAGATTGGGATATATGGCGTTGTGCAAAATTGCCGTGGGGTTGTTATTATTATTATCTATTATTTGTGTGTCTATTAACAGCTGTGTTTTGGTTGAGGGGTTAAGATAAGGCAATGAATTCAAATTACTGTGGAATATCTTGACCAAACTTACCATCAGGTGGGCCGTCAACTTGTATGCTATTCAAATTACATATCTTGACCAAATTCTCCCTTTATGTGATGAAAATCATACCCACTCGTAAGAAGATAATGGTTATATCTTTTAATTATATTAATAGTCAAAGAAAGTTTCGACAATAATTTGTATTTAACAAAAATATTACCTCTATATCCTGCAAAAGGCAAATCCGATCAAAACGATTTTAGCCATTCAAATGAAACAAAACAATTGTAGCAATTGTCTGCGAATCATATCCGTAAGTGCATGCAGGAGCTATGGAGGGGATGCTGTGATCCGTGTCATCCAGCTAGTTACTGCAAATCGTGCGAGCGTGTAGAGAATGGTGTAATATAGTTGCATGAGATGCTGCTAATGTACCCACTCGAACAATTACTGTCTTGATTCCTTGGTAAAGTTAATAAAATTGGTTTCTATGAATAATTTATGATATATCCTGTTAAATTATTTCCAAATTTCAATCATGATGTGATGAGTGATGTCGACAATTATAATAGGACAAAGGCGGGATACATTATCCTAATCACAAATACATAATCATTCAAATTAATTTAGAATTGTATGTATGAAAGTCGATTGATTTAACATTTAGCCAATACAACATATCTTAAGTTTAGATGTATTATGTATGATTTCCATAATATTAGATGATTAAATTAGCATGAAATTAAATATTTGTACACTTAAAACTTGATTGACCCACACTATTTAAAATACCTATAAATGGTACTGAAATAGTTTCCCGCCTTCTGAAGTATATGTAAGAAATAATTACATATGAAGTATACCGGAACAGAAATAAAGTATTCCTTGAGGAGTGGTAACTGTTACATATTCTATAGAGAAGATAATGGATTTGAAGACCTTGGTGGTTTTACTGATTAACACACTGCCTCATTTCCGGTGATTGCGAGATCTATTTGTATTCAAGACAGTTCCTGTCATTAGTATCTGCATTTTCTATTTACTATGTATATATTCAAAAGAGAAGTCTATAAGTTTTTAGTATATATATATAGTACTAACACATCAATAACTAATAACAATCCAATATTTAGGAGTAGATTGAAAAGTATTAATTACCTAGGGCATTTAATTTTGTTTTAATAGTAGAGTCCAATTTATTTCAAGAAAATTATTTGAATCTAAAATAATTGTGGGCCTCGGTGGTACAGCGGTTTAACACTCTGCTTTAGTTCCGATGGTCGCGGGTTCGATTCCTCGCACGGCGCAAATATTTGTATTTATGAGTATGATTGTTTCAATCGAACTGGGTGTTCTCTGTGCATATTATATATGTATTTTAAAAAATATCTAAGAATTTATATCGATTGTCTAGTACCTGTAACACAATTAATATATCGTATCTTATTATTTTAATTTACACTTTATTTATTTACACTGTATAGTCCCTTTTAACAACTTTTAGGAATGTTATCTTTATCTGTTTATCTATTTTACTTTTTTAATTCTACTTCTATTTCCTATGTAATTTCTTTATTTTATTTCTGAACAAGATATTACTTTATACAATATTCTTAGAATTTATTCACTCTGCTTGCAGTGGGACTAGATAGTGTTGTGTTAATTATCCATGGTTATATATTATTACTATTAATTTTCATGACACTCCGTAATCTTTATTTCCAAATAATGCACAATAAATTAAATAAATTGTTTAATTTTATCAATCAAAAATCAACACATTCAGCAATATAAAATATTTGTATCCTACATACATATTTATTAAATAAATTTTATAATTAGCATTCGTTAGTTATCTATGATAACTTTATAATCCATTATCATCTCACTTCTGGGGCCTGGAATTTTACTACATACACATACGTACCTACTATGTACGTGCGTACCAATATTATATTTTCTTTATATAAAATTAAATTAATTTATATTAGAATAATTACACAAATAAAATAAATGATAGCATTTGTTAGTTATCTATGATAAGTTTACAATGCATTAGCATATCACTTCAGGGGTCTGGGATTTTAACGCATGCACAGACGTACTACGTACGTACGTAAATTTTAATTAATTTATATTACAATTATTATTATTACATATAATTTATTTTAGTCTACAAATATCCATAGACTTAATAAAATAAATTATTTGATAGGAAATAATAGGCATTGTATTTCAAAAGTCTGTAATGGAATTATATCTGTTAAATTGAAAAATTAATCTTGTCTTTTAATAGCCTACAATTAATTTAACAGACGATCCCCACTGTTAAGATACGTACTGAGATCTTAATCCTTATTAGGAAGTTCTTTTAAAACTATTTCAATTTGATTACTCCGATAATACCATTAACTGTACGGTACATATACAAGCAAATTATTCGAAATTAATTCTTATATAGAAGTTCATAATTACAGGAGGTATCTACTTATTATTTAATTAAAAACTTGCTCTTTAGATATTTCTAATCTTAATATCATGGTAGTTATGATACATTTTATGGCACTACTGAGTTTTCCACATTTAATCAGTTTTAATATTATAACAGCCAGTTGACAAATATTTATATAGTTTGTAGTTGACAAATTTTTCAAATAGTCTATACTCTTTAATCGTTTCTCATAAAATGTTAGCTTATTAGTAAATCACAATTACAATATCTGAAAAATAGAAAATATATACCTCATCTTATAGTATACAATCGTATACTATAAGATGATGTATTTTTATTATTCCGTGCTGTAACTAGGGATCTCGTGTAGATCTGTAATGCTGAGGATCGCAACTAAATGTCCCGCCGAATTGAGACATCGGAAGGATAAATATTGAATATAATACATATTAATATCTACTGTCGAGAAGTTAGGATCGAGAGTAAATACAATGTGGTGGTAAAATACAATATCAGAAAGAATCACAGCTTTGGGTAATAGGTTAGCTTAAATTTATGACGTCACTAATATACATCAAACTATATGCAATAATATACATCAAAACATACTAAAATACATCAAACGAAACGTCAAATGAAAATTCAGCCAAGTTTGATGTTATATGACTACTTCAATAACGGTGGACTAATGAGTAATTAGCCATTAGTTTACCTCTAGGATTACATGCTAACGCATATTTTTTTTACGTGTCATATAATTCTACATTTATAACAAATCACAGAGTAGTAGCATGAATAATATAGCATTATTTAAGAGTGTTCACCAATAAAGCCCAGCAATGTTCGGGATTGATTACCGAGGCTGTTCATTCGAGGTCGACTTTGTAAAAAAGCGTATGCGTGGGCCTACAGTCAGATCTCGAGTTAATTTTATTCGATATCGGTGTTATCACAGGGCAGTCAGTCAGAAATATAAATTAACACACAACATCTTTGGTGTTGACCGACACTGCATTAAAATTTAGAGTCGATTTTGAATTCGAGTCGGAGTAGTAAACCAACTACAACGACATCGATATATTTAATTCTCTATTTATATAATGAATGCTATAACATTTATGCTATGTAATAATCACTTAAATATCTATTCAATTCATCTATTTAAGAAATAGTAGAGATCCTTTGTAAATTGACTACATCCTTATCTTTCTTCTTTCCACGGAAGTGTTCCTCGATTTCAGCGAGAGACTTCCCCTTGGTCTCGGGTACCATTAAAAGAACGAATACGAACGCCACTGCGCAAAAGCAAGAATACATCCAGAATGTTCCAGCAGATGTAAGCAGGGTCTGTAAAAACGATAATAATTTATTTTTCATTAGACTCAGGATAGTTTCTGGCATCTGATAGTGTCTTTTTTTATTTTATTTATTTCATTAGTATGGCTATCAGTATGATGGTAAGCAATTATTGTCTATATACATGAAACCAAAACATACATTTCAACAACATGCGACTTGCGTTGTACCAATTCTTCGCAGTTATTCCAGAGGAATAAAATATGCCTCAGTATTCTGTAAGTTCACTATCTTATATCACCCTTTAACCGAAACACATCTTACAAAAGAAGATTGGTAGCTGGAATAGGTGAGACAGGGGTACCCATGCAGTCGACTTTGTACCTTGGTAGAGTCCAATAAAAGGGCTCACAATACTGAAAAGATCGTCGAAAAAGATACGGTAAATTCCAATTGATTGCAATTTGTTTTAATAGTACACCGGCTATTTGTATGTCAGCCCAAGTCTTATAAAACAACACGCAATTCTCTTATTGATTTATTATTCGTGAATGATACTTACGTCAAGAGCATGATAAGTCTTGATGACACTGAACATTGAAAGCAGGTTGACAGCGCTAGCCATGGCTGAGAGCTGGGACCGGTAGTGAGTCGGAAACAGTTCCCCTAGCAGTAGGAAGGGTAGTCCGCCGAAACCAATGGAGAATCCCATCATGAAAACGACCAAACTTGCTATAGGTAAGTACCTGTAAGCAAACATATGTAAATCTATCTTAATATTTGCACATAAAAAAGTAGTGACGGAGCGAAAACAGCTTGTCTGTTCATGTTAAAATGAATCTAATATGTTGATATATATGAGTCAGCATATAGGGTAGGATTCGTACAACACCCAGATGAGAGGCAGATTGCGGAAAATGGAGTCCAACTTATTTTTACATTTAGGGTAGGACTGTTGTAAAAATTGAGAAATAATTAATTTTATTACTATACTATTTTTTTAATACAGCGTACTGCCTACTTCCTACTACATTATTTAACTTAATAAGTTAAATAATGTAGTATATTAGTAATCTATAACTAATAACAATAATAATATATACTCGTATTTTGCCCTATTACCGTTGTCTCTAGGATTTTGGTTTATTATCAGTGTTAGCATCACCGGAGAGTTGGTCAAAGTACAAATTAAAATTAAAAGCTTTGTATGTAAATTACAAACAAAGCTTTTAATCTATGTATATTTATATATATTATATGATTATAGTATTAAAATAAGATCAAATATTTACCCAAGCCACGACATTTTGTCTAACTCGAAATAGAAAGCCGATCCCATGGCAGCCATGGCGACGCACATCACTGCAGCAGACACCAGCAGTAAGGGCCGCCGACCAGCGCGGTCCACCAACATTACGCTAACTCCATTACTCAATAATTGAACTAAGCCTATAATAATGGTGGCTGTCATAGCGTCTAACGTACTTCCTGCAAGGATTGATGGATAGGCATTTATTTATTTATACTTAATACATGGATTTGATTACTTATAGTTTTATTATTAATTAGGTTAGATCTGTAGTTTAACCTAGTTTGGGGACTACTAATAACACAAATAAAATTGTACAATGTAGTAAATTACATTGGAATTTCATTTGTTATTAGTAGTCCCCAAACTACATAGGTTAGACTACAGATCTGACATAGTCTTTGGGGACTGGGAGCGCGGTTACTAAAATATATTGTGTGTTTATGTGTTGGTAGATCAACACAGCTAACTGTACTTCAATGGTATTGTGATAATTACGACAAAAAACAATTTTTTTTACGTCGGTCAAGTACTAATATTTTTCTCAATACAAACAAAAAACAATCAAATCTCTCCTATTCAATAATATGTAAAATAAACAACTGTAGTTATTTAGGAAAGTTTCATTTTCGGTGACAATATAACTATTTGTATATATTTCTTTCGGTTAAGTATATTTCGAGTTTTTTTTCTTCAATATAAACAATGAAAACAACAATCTTTGCTTCTCCTTGTATATTAGTACAGACAAATAATAAAATTTATTTGTTTTACCAATAACAATTGGACTCGTATACAAACTAAATTAGTCCAGTGGACGCCTGTTTATTAGTGACGTGTGTAGGACTCAAATTTTCGTCTCGAAATAACTTTCAAATATATATAGTAGTTATATACTGTTAATACCATAAATAGAATATTGTCACAGCCACCAAAAATATTATGATTACCTGCATTTTGAAATATTTCTACTGTGAAGAATATGACAGCGTCTATACCGCTGAACTGTTGGAAAATGAGTAGGGCGAATCCAACAGTCAAAGGCTTCAGCACAGCCGATGAAAAGAATACTTTACGAGTAAACAGCTTCGGTGGTGCCGCTGACTCGATTTTCCTGTAACATAATATTAGCATATTTACTATTTCATTGCATTGACTTTCAATATTTTGGCAGTATTTATGAATTATCATTGAACAATTCCTATATAACAGAATTATCCACGGTATATATATATATATAACAAATTGATTCGTGTACTTAATTATACTTTAATACTTACTGTATATCACCTTTTCCTTTAATCCTGAGGATATCATACCATTAAAAGGCAAACCAGGAGATCAAAAGCGCACTAATCAGAATACAAGAAATAGAAAATATATCAGATATCATATACCACCTTACCAATAGCGTGGCAATAGTGGGGTAAAGTGGGAGACTTTACCCCACTATTAACCTACATATACATAGCTTACCATACCTAAAGTATATACAAAATTCAATGATCTATTTTATACTCTATAGAAGAGAATACATGTTTTTAATCTGTAGTCTCATCTAGAGTATATTTCATGCATTTTTATAATATAGCTCCCAGACATACATAGCATTAGATTAGAATCAGTATCGATATCGATACAAATCGCTTTTAGAAAAATGCTTTTACTGATTGAGATCTGTTATGTTTGTGTGCTAATAATGAAATAACAAGTAAATTGTGGATTATTCTAATAATCGTGATGATATTTTTGTGTAAACGCAACTACCATATTCTAAATTTTGGTTTAATACTGTCTACTTTATAGTCTAAACCAACAGACAATAGAACATCTCAGATGTTAACTAGTACCATCAAATCTCTCTTTAAGTTCAGGCGGGCCTGAAATGATTGCTTACTATATAATTTAGGATTTAATTTAAGAAAAAGGACATTTTTAAATACTACAGTGAAACGTAAAAAGTGAACTTACTCTTCTGGTTCCTCCTTAACAATAACGGTGGCTCGTGCAGAGAGGTGCAACCATTTGACTGAACCTGCTGGATCACTGCCCTGTGTTTCCAACCAAACTGGTGATTCTGGCAACGGCAGTAATACGACGAACAGTACCACTAAAATGTCAAATAAATTTATGTATAAATAACAGGAACTCTTGTTTTGGTATTTTGACAGTGACTTTAAACACGTATCCCTTCATATATTATTTACCAGCTGGTTCCCCCGATTCCGTCTGCGCAGGATTAGTACTTCAAATATCTTTTTCCTCTCCAGGATCTTATCTATCTTTATCAAAAATCATTACGGCAGAATGTTTTCCTAGTTACTTGAAATATCTTTATATTTTGGATAATTCACTATGGTATGTTAGTATTAAGAAAAGAGTATAATATATAGTCTAATGTTGTTATACTTACCACAGAAAATAGCAGAGAAGAAAGCAAGGTGCCGCCATTGTAGCCAGTTACCAGCGACATAGGATAAGAGAATGCCAAATGACATAGATAGAGTGGGCAAAGAGCCGAGTCGACCGCGAATCTCCGGATCACAACATTCACTCACCTGAAAAAAACATCTCAACAGTTATATTATTGGAAAATTAAATAAATAGCGGGTGCTTATGAAACTAAGTGGTGATTTATTCGAGTATCATATGGACAATTTGGATTTAGAACAATTAGAAAGAAATATTATGGTATGTACAAAAGGAAATAAAAATTTAATAAATCCCTTGTACAAAAAATTATGACTGCAACTTAATTGAATTGGAGAACCAATAATACTAAAGCTAATATTATAATACTAACACTTACACTGGTAATATGATGTCATTTTTTACTTTTAGTTACATAAAGAAGTGTCTGTGCTTTCGTGATTGCTGGTACACGATTTGACATTTATATCATTTTTATGTCCAAAATAATTAATTTATCCAATTTCACAATCACCTTGGGGCTAGTTAATAGTATATATAGATATTAAAAGTGCCTGCTCTTATTGTCTCCGAATTATTTTAATATCGAACTGTTACTTAGCCAACTTGCTTAAAATAATTCTATATTTGATTTTGACATACTCGTAGATATGGGAGTTAGAGCAATTTGTAATAACAGGTTCAGATGGATTATGAAACTTAATGTAAATCTTACGACATTTAAGTTGCCCGTATACGACCGCATAATTGAAACACATTACGTACGAAAAAACTTATAAATTAATGATTTATAAAGGACACAATGATTTATATTAATAATGACAAAGAACATATAATATACTGTTTAAATAATCATTAGTGATCGAAGGTTTCTAGAGTTATATGTCCGCAACATAGTTGATAAGATATTAATTATGTAAATATTATTATGAAATAATTTGTATAAAAAATCATTTGTTTATTCATAGCTTATGTAAAACACTCAACTAAAAATAGTATTCAAATATTATAATTATTTATTAATGATTTTTCCATTAAAAATCTAGTTCATTATATAAAATCATATTATGATTATTCATACGTTACGGAAAATGTATAACTAATAATAGTGATCAAATATTATAATTATTAATTAATGTTTTTTAACAATTATATATTTACTTTAGTATTGTACCTAATTTCTTATATCGTATTGCTTTATGTAGATTTCATTATTAAATTGAGTTATTGATGTATGTCGAAAAAGATAAGAAATTTTGAACATAAAGTTTGTACTACGAGTATATAAAATACTTTATACCTATCAGAAATAATTCAATATTTATGTAACCTGAATAATATTAATAGAAAATCACAATTACAAAACATTTGTAGTCGTTTATCAATGTTTGTAAGTAATTGAGCATGGTTGAATCCGCTACCATCGGTCATTGCGTATACTAAAGAGCTGCAACACTGAGATCATCGAATTAATTAAAGGGAATAAAGGTGTAATTGATTTATGAGTTATCTAACTAACCAGTCAATAATCTATTAATAATAAACACACACATATCTTTTTCTGTATTACAAAGAAGATCTTGTATGTTCTATAATGGTTACCTAAACACATCTGATGTTATTTATAAGTACTATCTAATGAATAAGAATGCTTTACTTTACTGAATGTAAATAGTAATACATAAAATTTGAAATTCCTAGATATCAGATATTTATCGCTATAATAAAGCAAGTCACTATACTTTTCGTTCACGTGATGCCTGTGATAGACTTGATTTTTCAGTTCACATTAAAGATAATGTAGTTTTATTATTAGTATTATGTGAATAAGTATATCAGTACATTTACCATTATTCTATCGCATTAATAGCAGTGATTACCTATTATTGTTCTGATCCGGTAAAAAATTCAGAATATTATTTAGTATCGTTTACATTTAAGTTAGACCTGTGCATTATTTCATTCCTTTAGATAGTACCTGCTATTAGTGTAATGAGTGTAGTATTGATAAAAACACTCTATTATTACACTCATTATACTAATAGTAATCTCAGTAGTGGCGGCGCAGGCTTCATAAATGACCCATAATAAAATAGTAATATGGCCTATACAATCAGGAGCAATATAATAGCATGTAGTTGGATATACTCTGCTCGGAGAGCACAGCACAGTATGAGAAATTGGCCCAATCACTACACCAGCCGCGATATAAGAAGTGTTCCCTATCACTTCTCCGACATTGCTTCTGATTTTAGTATCATATATGTATGCCTTCTGATATCTATACCTACTCATATTGTACTAAATGGTTAGCATTTAGTACAATAAGGGGGCTGGCATAAGACATTAAAATTGAAACTGAAAATTTAGCATATATATGCTTGTTGTTAGCATATATATACGTTTAAAAATGAGGTTAATAAATTATAAGTAACTTTCTACTTTATTAATAATAATTTCTGATGTAAATCACTTACATAAACTTGTGCCGGAGCTAACACGAAACCTACACATAATCCTGACATCATACGACCCAGCACAACTAATGGGAAGTGATTAGCGAACCCCAGAACGAGCCAGGCTGCCAGCCAAAGAGGAGAGGCTATTTGTAAAGTTCTTCGACGGCCAGCACGCTGCATTAACTCTCCAGAGATAAGACTGCCTATGAATGCACCCAACGGTGGAATGGCACCTGAAAAATAAATTAATCTAGTAAATACTTCTATCTATATTTAGATACTATTTTTAATAATGACAGCGAACTTCAATAAAGAATAGTAATTATGAACAATTATATATTTTAAATGAGAAAGTGAGATATATTTCTTAAAAAAAAAGAAATGAGGGAAGCAATTTAAAAAATATTGTTTAATTTTGGCTAACAAAATTAAACAATATTTTTTAAGTTGAGTTGCTCCACTCACAATTTACTGTCCTTGAAGGATATTAAAAAGTGCGGGAAAATACGACAACTGTAAAAAGTCGTCAGCGAGGTACTTTAGTCTCGCCTATATATAATAAGTCGGCAAACAGCTTGATTTGTAAGTTGTTTCGGTTGAAGGGCGACATAAGGGAGTGATAAAAGGCATCTTAGTAATCCATAATTGCAACGTATGATTTACGGCGGGTCGTATGGTATCATAATACACGAAGTGCTGTTCATGTATATATGTATACAGGCAAGGGTTACCACTTACCTATCATCAGGTGGGCCGTCAGCTTCTTTGGCATTCCAATTACATTAAAAATGTATAGATAAACTAAAAAACTAGAAATTATATCTAACAACTTACTATTTCTATAAGTTTATATTTAGATCTTAATATTACTTATATTAATGTAGATAATGATGCCTATAAGAATTTGTCTCACATAACTCTCACATAAACTATGTGGATAATCTAAATTTTATAATTTTCATATAATATGTTTTAAGCTATATGTATGCTGTTTTAAGTCTACATACCAAGTATATTAATGGCTGGCCGTACATATTACTTAGCCTTAATGAAGAGTAAACAAAATACATATCTTTCAATATTGTTAAGTAATATCTTACCATTGACTAGTCATACTGCGACTGCCTACAAATAGTCATTTAAAAACATAAGAAGTACTAATTAAAAAACTGGAACTTGACTTAATTGACCATTAAAACTTTCACATACACATTATTAATTATTAAAATTAATGAAATCTATTTTGCATAGATTCACATTTATGTCTGTTTCCTAAACGGTTTACAGAACTTAAAATAAAAACAAAAATCTATAAATTACAATAAAGATAGATACCTACTCTAACTTTACAGCATGCATAAGCTGCAATGCAAAAAGAAATCTGACCGGTGTAATGAAAACTTGATTATGATGAAACTGGGGAGTCACTTACAGTCATCAATTAATAACGAATTTTACATCTTATATGCTTGATTACGCCTTAATTCAATACGTCTATTTCTTATTCAAATATCTAAATATGTATGTATCTTCTAACGTTAGGTGTAACACACACCAATTTTCACTCCGTAGTCGTTAAAAGGTAAGAAACAGATAGACAGATATACTTCTGCTATTATTTTATTAGTAAGAATATAATAATATTCTATTTTCAGACAAACCCCATACAGGAACCAAAAAATACGTTTTCTACGTTGCTTTGCTTCCATTTGCTGTACCTTCATGTATCATCATGATAGATGATATGTGTAATATAACATGAAGGTCTACGTCAATTTATTTACCATATTCAGCAGCAATACACATCAAACTATAAATTTACTTACCAATCCATGATTTCTGTTCATTAGACTGTATGAGGTGTGGATTTAGACTTTCAATTGATGGGATGGCGGAAGCCGAGTAACCTCTCACCAATCCAATTATCAGAAATGCCAGTGATGCGCCCAATGTTAGCCATAACTGAAATATATAATACTGTATGTACATAATTATAGAAATGCTTTTTAATAAAATTAACTAGTATGGTCTCTGTCTTAGAGAGAACTAGAGATATTAGTTTCCCATTAATTAAATTATTTATGATATTTGGTTCTAGCAACATTATGAAAGCTTTTTTTACATATATATTTATTACTAATGCCTAATAAATTCAATTTTTAACAATAATTTATTCATTTAGGACATTTTAGCTGCATATAAATATTAAGATTTTTGTAAGTGATATTTTTTTCCTAGCGTTAAATTTATTTCAGTAACATAATATATATATAATAATATTTTTGATGTAATGTAAGTAGAGCAAATATCTTAAAAAAGAATAAGTTCGATACAGCAGATAGTCAATTCTTTTTTATGTTAATGTGAATATATGACCACGTAAAACTATTTTCAAATAAATCAATTAATATTATTATTAAATTCACTTGGACCCATACTAGTTTTATTAAAATTAAACACGATTTTTTTCTTGTAATGATAATTTTAAGTGTGGTTGGCCTTGATTGGTACCATCGCCGTGACTGCTTTGGCCGTGAAGCAGTAAGTCGATGTATGATTTGGCTTCAGTTATATGGAGAATGTTCTTATACAGGAAATAATGCATAACATCTTCGTGTTTAGAAATTCATCTTCCAAATTAAAGATGTCATAGTCGAGAAAGTTATTTATATGAGTCCGTAGCATTGAGTTCTTTAAAGATCTATACTCGATCTGTTTGGAATTATTCCTACTAACTAAGGTGCAAGTCAGGAATTGAAATACATTCATAACTCAGAATTACACGTAGACAAAACAGTAGATACTGTTATATTCGTGAATATATATATATATAAGCGCTCTGTACTATTTTTAATCGTATTATTTTTTCGTTGAATTGATTATTAAAATTCCATTACATGTATACATATGTAGTATATACATGAAAAAGAGGAAACTTACATACATATGTATGTATCTTTTTTTGTTTTTATGTAATATATAATATTTATTACTTTAAGAAAATTGTGATATAAACAAAATTGTCATATTAACAACTAACTAAAAAGATTGATAGAAGATCGTGCAAGATGGCTCCAGCAGGAGCTCAGTTCTTAAATTATGAATTAATGTAACAATATTAACATAACAACATGAAAACTAAGTAACAAATATATAATATTGTGGATTCAAAATTGAAAACTCCTATGCAAAATGTTTAACGATAAATTGTCAGCTAAAGCCTACATATAATGTTTTGTGGCGTAAAAAAATAAACTTCAAGGAAAATATTGTGATTCTAGTACAAAAACACACATATGAATGGCTTGATATCTACCTATTTAGCCGAGTCACGTGTATGTAAAACCCGATCTTTCCTGTTAATATAAAAAAGTAGACTATATACATATGTAGAAAGAATGGGTCCTCTATCAATCGGGGTTGTCTATATATATAACTCGTTCAGAACATAATAATATATTAAAATATTTAGATTGTTAGAAGGAAATTTTAGCATCTACAGGTTATGTCTATAATGCGATTGTTGCTAGATTTACACAATTTATTTGTGACTTCTTTTTTGGATGATTTAGATAAATCATCCAAAAAATAAATTATTTTTTGTTATGGCAGAAAATTAAAAATTTATCTATAATAAATGTTCATTTACTTTATGGTATGCTACAAGATGATGTACTTAAAAATCATATAAAGAAATATGAAATTGAACCGAAGTAAAAAAAATGTTGTACTAAGTACTTGTAAAAAACACAGCAAGCTCATATAATACAAACAAATTAAGGCACTTTATTGTCAACGATGACAAAACATACACAAAAACACTTATTGAAAATTAAGACTAGTTTGTTTACACATAAAAACCAAACCAAATTATGTACATCATATGAAAACATTATTATACGTAGATGTCAAGTAGCTAACTAATGGTAGGGAAAAATAATTTTGGAATCAGTTTATTCGATTCAAAATTTAAATATACTCATTTTTCATATTAGTATACAGTCACAACTTTTATCTCAGGTGAGGTAGAGAGAATTATTTGTGGTTTGTGGTGAACGTAACAGTCGACATGTCTACATTTCGTTGGGTAGTTCAAGTTGAATTCAGTTATATAGGTACTACATATATCTGGAGTCAACTTGTCAGAGAGCAAGCCTGCCGCCATCTCTCGGATTAATTTTTATTTTGCTATCGATGTGTCCTCCATCTGGGAGTCAAACAGAAACATAAATTGATACAAAAATTCTATTTTTTGTTGTCGAACAGATTTGAACTTACGAATTGGGTACACCCAACTTACAAATTGGGTATAGGATACCGACAAGTTATGTCACTCATTTGGCGCAAAATACGTATGAGTTTAACAATTTACAATAGTACAAACTATGAAAATATAGTTAACTTTTCAATTAAAAAAATACAAATTTTTCTTAGTATATTACAACCCTATTATTAATTTACTATATGATATACGGCCCTGTGTATAGATAAAGCTATCCTCCTCTTTAGCACACAGTTACATAAATGTAATTATAAATCTTTCTTGTTTTTTAATAATAAAGTAATAAGAAGGCCTTAGAGAGTGAATCCATAAAAGCTTCCTCCTACCTCGTATTCTATGTTTAAATGAATATAATTAGGTCTACAAATTTATTTTACACATTCAATTTCTAACAAATCTACAAAATTATAAATAAATTATTGAATGTTATACATATAATTGACAGGTAATATACAAGGACAAAGATTTAACCCTCTTATTCAAAATGTTAAACGAAAAATCGTCTACATCGTAATCTACGTAAAATCTTTGATAGCGTAGAATACAGAATTACGTATACGTTTAGATATTATTTGTATTCTTATTATTATTTACTCAAACGTACCGTAAAGGAAAATATATTATTGTCAATACATTGTCATAGTATGACTGTTGGTCTGTTGCTACATAACGAATACCATCGTAATCAAAGATCACCGGTTGACCATCTGTTTATATCAAATGTATGCATCGAGGACTCGAGAGCGACAAATTTAACCGTTAGGAATATTTGAATCCAATTGCGACTGCGACTTCGTACCCGTGATATTAGGAGTCAAAATATTTTTAAGTACTATTTATTTGTTAATGGATTGAAATAAAACTACTTTGTTTTTATATAATTGCAATGGAAAACAAGCTAAGACTCCTTCCACCGCCCTGGTTGTAAGCGGTAATTATCGTATTATATACCATATACAAAACAGAATTAAAACGGTATTCCATAGTACTAAGAGGTTAAATCACAACATATAAGTGAAATCTGAAGCCAAATCACCTAAGCCGTCCATGAGATAAGCGTGCACAAACAGACTGATCAAAATTCTAATAATCATTGTTTTGGGTACTCCTGTATTGATAACTGTATTCTTCTCCCCTATGAAGGGTTTATAGGGGAGAAGAATTATTAGTAATAGATAGTGCCCGATCTCCTCTGAAAACCATAGTGGTAAATTTCTGAGGAATTCTGGCCATGATGGTAAACTGATGATTTTGATGATGATTGATGCCCAATAAGAATGTTTGCTTCTTTAAATTCTTCTCTGAATCTTCTTCAATGTATCTCTCAATATTGTAGACTTCCTAACATCATACAAGCAACACTAAATTCAACGAACGACGTTTTTGTAATATAGATAATGTACATAGCAGCTGTTTTACAAATAATCACATTCCATAAGAAATTAAACAAAGGGTGCAGCTAAGGCGCTTTGCACATTATGCCATAGACCGTTCGCACTAAAATGTGGTAGACGGTTAAATGTATGCGTAAAGGACCAGCAGGTTGCTTACAGTCTACTAATAGTACATATATACAAAGTTTCATTACAGAGCTGTAAGATAACGAAACGCTCCGTGTACAGAACGCTTTCGTTAATTCCATATTTCATTGTTCATTAAGACCTGTTTAATCAAATGAATATAGATAGAAATAGTGGTAAAGAAAATGATAATCGTACATTATTCAAATCGCCTAAAATTTGCCAGTACACATTGGTACATTAAAATCAGGTGCAATCGCCCTGGCCGTGCGCCGTTAATCGTCCTGGATCACTTCGTGTGAAATCGGGACGATCTCTCATAATGTGCATGTGAAATTATATCCCTGTCACCACTGTTTTTGTCCCTGTTGTAGTGTTGTGTATAGGGCGAATAAAATAATCTCAGATAGTTGATAAAATATCATATTTGTAAATTGTCTAATGATACAAGCAGTACCAGTCCATTAATTTCAGTCTGTTTCTTATCAAGAATAATTCCAATACACTTAAAATCTAAAATTTTATTATAAAATTTCATCATCATTCACCAAATAATTATCGTAGATTCTAAACATTAGCGCTAAAGAACAAGGTACCTATATACAAAAGTATTTTAGAAGACATCAGCAAAGCGAATCGTTTTTCATTCCGCGATACGAAGATTGTAAATAATAAGTACGTACCATTTACCTATTAGGTCATGGTCGAATTTTTATGTAGGCAAATTTTAGCATTCAAAGCATTGTAGTATTGCAAATAATCTTCTAGTATTTGTCTGTAGTTAACGACCTTGCGTAGTGATAGTAATGCACACACAGATACCTAAATGAGGCAGGATTAAAAATTTTATCGAAGAGACTGACGCAGGCTCGTCCCCGCGATTTTGGAATCAAAATATACCGGGAAAAATGTGGGCATAACAAGTGGTACGTTCACCACAACATCAACAGATGAAAATGCCTCTGACTACGCAATCTAGGATAAAAATCGTGACGGAAAGTTTGTTTTGTGAAATCTAACAGACAGAGACAGTCTTACTTCATATTTCGTCTTATTCGTTTTTAAATCATGTGTTAACCACACATGATTTGAAAAATGAATGGTCTGACTGATAGAAGACACATGAGACTAACAGACAGATACTTTTTGTGTATCTGCAATTGTCAATACGTAGATAAGTTAAGGAAGAATAAAATTTTTTTAGTCGTATTTAATTTAAGTATGCATTAGAATAAAGACCTAATCTAAATTGACAAACAAGTCTGAGCTCTGTTTTTTATGAATCTGTATACAATAGACTTGGTAGTTCCTACTCAACATAATACAAGTGTAGGTACGTACTTTAGTTTTTTAGTTCGGATAATAGTTCTACTGCAGTATTGTTTTTCAAAAATGTTTGTGTGTGTATGGTATGTTTTTATAAAACAGAACTGATTTGAATCATTCTTTCTGAAAACGATAGGGTTCTTACTTTGCCGCAATTTAGTAGTGAATTTATTTGGCGTATGAAATACGATTGTGTAATGTAATGTACGCGGCTGTTTTGACGTCAGGTGGAAAGATAGAGAAATTCTAAAAAAACATCAGTTATCGGTCCACTTAGATATTTAAATAACAATTTTTAGAATGCATGATAAGCTAGTAACAGAAACGATAATCTATAACTCTGTCTAGAGTTTGTATCGGCTGATTGGATTGATAAATGTAGGTTGAAGGATTGATTCAAATAGTACATGAATTCATTTTTTGTTTTTAAATGTATTCATAATACTCTAATTTTCAACATTTTCGTAAATACCAAGAAAAACTTCAATGAGAACTGCTGCGTAGTAACTGCAGTTCATCAAATACTGATCACATCACCCAAGGATATCTAGTATTGCTTTTGCAATTTCTAGTGACCTTAGTCTTGTGACATGATAGCGGATCCATGTGATCACGAGCTGCGGAAGTGGGCTATTGCAAGCGATTTCATTGGACATCATGAATACAATACCTACCGCTGTGATTATCTATGTACACGCACATAGTGGCACCAAATTGTCCAATTCTTTACTACTTTTTCATACAATGTGCATTAAGCATACGTTCAGTCTGGTGAGAGTAAAATAATCCCCGAACGCTTCCGATAGCAAAGAATCTTTCAAGACTCCCTCCTCCATCCTTTAGCGACAGAAATATTTAGAATATGTAGATAATTTAATTCCAATATATTTCCAACGCCTTTCAAAATACATAATGTACAATTTTGAAACACTTACGTATGCTGTATGCTTTCAGTTTCACCTATAGTTAACTTGGAATACAATGCACTTTAAAGCGAGATATAGGTACCTACACTAATTGTAAAAGTAAAGAGTTGAAAAAGAAGTGTAGAATAATGCTCATAATATTATCAAAATACTGTTGCAAGTGGTAAGTGGTGGTAGTGGTGTCTAATGCTAGGTACCATTACAATTGTTAGCATATTAATCCTTTGACATATGCTTGAAATTCTTTTGCCTAATTTATTATTGTGCAGTTAGTAACTTGTATACAGAAATGCTAACCATAGTAAAAGTAATAAAACAGTGTGACGTCATCGGTAAACAGGTTCCCAGATGAAATATGGCTGGTTAGTTTCGTACGATTTTGTATTAGAAAACGCGTTTCAAGTCTCCACGTCTATATAGTATTTGGCAAAATTATAAGAGCACAGAACACGATTTAAGTGTACATACTTAAACACAAAATATCTTAAAAAATACTAGGTATTAGATACATTTTATTAGCATTAAACCGAAGTTACAGAATAACACGGATATATGCTATCAGTATGAGCAGCAATATCATCAGGTACTATTATGCCTCTGACCAATTTCTTGATAAATACAGATAAAAAATATTTATGACGCAACGAAATTTAAATAAATAAACGTAGTAATATTTCAAAAATAGGAAATCTCTCTTTGAATGTTATTTTTTTACAACTTGCATTATTATCTACCGTGATGCTGTAATTTTATATAATATATGAATATTTAATTTAACGGAATAAGGCTCAGTTATTTTTTGCTTGTAACGACTGACGAAGCAATTTAATCATTAGCCACCAATCGGGGTCAGCACACAGGATAAATAAATATCTTAGTAAAGTGTTGGCAAACCAAATTGCACTTGCCCGTAATGTTTATAAGAGAACTACAAGCATTCTTTACCAAGATAAAACAAAAAACACGTGATATATTCTCAAGTACTGATATTGATATAATATTATTATCGATAACTTCATATGCACGGCTTAATGCAGCTATAATTTGTACTGAACTATTATGATAAATGCCATAAATAATTATATGATTAACTCAGAGATACAAGTGGCTACTTTTTTATGTAACTGGAATGGCAAAGAACCTGAAGACCAGCCTTATGATAAGGGGTAACTGTCAGCTATATAAATTCATAGGTGAGACATAGTCAAGCTGGCCTTTTGTAAAAGGTACCTCAGTACAACTTTACTGAAGTACCTTGACTTATAGACATCAAAACTAAATTCAAGCGTCAAGCAATATCTGTGTTACTAAGCACAACAATGTCTTTGTCATAATGCCATATACGACTATAACATATATACACGCAACAGTATGCATGGAATCAGCAGAAATTCACATAATAAAAATTGCTTGAAATCAAGTTATCCTTTATTATTACACCAAAGCGTGGCTGACACGCTGAGGTCGTCTGGTTCTCAAACTAAGTACACCTTATACTATTAGTTCTAAATTGATTGAGATATCTGATATTATACAACAAAAACTCCTGTATAAAACTGTTACTTAAATTATAATCTTGTGTCATTTATATTTGCAATTTAAAATATATTTTATCAAACATTCTTAAGCCATATGGTATTCAACTATATAAAAGCATTTTTAACAGAAATTTGAAGTGGAAGTACAGTGGATAGGAAGGATAGGAAGGCTTACACAAAACAGATGAAAGATTTGTCTAATATCTACTTACAATTAGTAATAGAAAAGTTATATGTGTTTTACTTATTTAATTTTTATTTATTTATTTATTAAAAGTCATATTTACAAACCGTTACTGGGATGTTAAAGATAAATCATTACCGACTTCTCTCTATTCCGAAATACTCTGCTTTTATTTTAACGTTTTATTATCCGTGATTATAACTATATTTACTCGTTTTTATATTTAAATTAATCTCTTATAAGTAGGGACCGTTAAAGTAGCAATGAAAATTATTAAAAGATATTGCATTTTAAAATTTATGTTCAATAAAAAATATACCTGTTTTAGGAAAGCCACTGGTATTTTATACATCACTATATTTTTTTTTTCACTAAAATTTTATCCGTTAATCTTTGTTTGACGGAAACGCGTGAGTACGCGGCGTGAATTTATTTCGCTCGCGTCACAGATGTAGGTGACGCTGAATGGAGATCACATCTGGTACTGACCACCGCGTCATACACTACCTTCCCACCACTTGCTCCTACCATTATATACAATAAGCATCATTGCAAACGATCATGTGAGAGAGACACCTTACTACCGGAATTATCGATACTGTAACGTACTAATATATTACTTAATTTGAAATCGCTTTTACAGTATTTACGATTAGAGTATATTATTTAAAAATATTATATTTCAATTGTGATGAAATTAATTTAGGATCTTTTTTTTGATTAAACATGTTAACAACAAAGTCTAAGAAAATATTACGAAATATCGCATGGAACATTCACAAAGAAAATAGTTCCATTGAGAACTTTTCCTTTTTAAATTTTTAAATCATTACTCAATACAACTTATATGTTACGCTAGATCATCTCTAAGAACCTACCAAGTAGTGCACGATGCACACTTGTCTTTACTGAATGTTATCTTGCTATCTCCAATATAACAATATTGTATTCGCTGCAACACATTTAAATATTTGTGGTGTCTTCGAGGATCTGATGATAATATTTTTTATTTATATATCTAATCAGACAACATAGTTCATTTTGTTAGTAAGAGTTACTTAACGTAGTTAGTAAAAAATAAAATAAGTATGGGAATAATACTTAATACCTTTAATACCTGTTCTGTAATAAATAAATTCAAAAACAAGAAAACTCTTTTATAGAATAGATGGATTTTAATAATAAATATGTGAATTTTTATGTGGTACAAAATGGGGTGTGGTGTACAAAATTTTTACAACTGAGCCTCTAATCTCATCTCCATCAACATACATCAACATCTCCATCAAACAAAAACATCGCAACCAGCTTTATGACCAGAGTGAACTCCTTATACAAGCATTATTGTTGATGGTGATCTAACGGTTTAGCACACCATAGTTTTCAATTCCTCACACGGTATAAACGTTTGTCTTCATGAGTATAATTAATTGTATCGGGCCTGGGTGTTTTTTATATATATCTTTAAATTGATGATAATTTATTCCATTATAATACTACTACTACTAACAGCAGTAGTACTCATACTAGCGCAGGCGGGTGCGCTAAGGGTTTACGCTGGCGGGGCACCAATGGAGGATAAGATGAGGACACGTCACTTAGCCCATCGTGGCAATTCACCAGGAATTTATGAGGATCATTTCCAGGGGCAATCGTGGAAGTCAACCAGACATCATATATTGCTAGTTATGGGGTATATTGCATACGCCTTAGTAATCTTATATGATTTCTTTTGTAACCACAGTACAAGATCTGCTTAATTTGGAACTAGACGACTTATGTATTGCCCTAGGTAATTTATTTTATTTAATTATTATCAGTGTGGTTTACGCATACACTGAGTAAAAACAATATATGCATCATGACTTGGGCCCTCACTGGACCCTGCAAATAGAATAAACTCATGGCAAACCTAGGTCTCTGCTCAACGAAAATCCGCAGATTTTTCCAAGCTGAAGAGGAAATGCCACGACATATCCTATGTGGTTATACTTATAACCTACTCATGCATAAACGAAATATCTATCTTGAGGAAATAAAACTATCGTTCCTAGGAACAACCTTCAATTTTTGTCTCTGACGGATCTAGATAGCGAACTGTGAAAACGGGTGTGCACAATAGATCTATGTAGGTCGCACTACTATACTATACTATAGGTCTTAGCACCTGACAATTACCCAAAACCCGCAAAAAACCTATTTGTTTACATTGCTGGTATTACCAGGTAAGAAACTGTTTCTGTTGTTAAGCAATACGCAGTTGTGTAATAGCAAATTGCAAACAAATGCAAATAGCTTTCACTTTTAACACGTGCGCGGATGCTTTATGGTATTTTATGTTACATGAACAAAAGAGTACCCTGTTGCTATTAAAATGTACCTATTAAGTATAAAAACCACCATTAAAATTCAGTCTTTGTTGTACGTTCCCCAATTCAGAAAAGATTGATATGGATTTATATCATTTAAATAAAATTACTATTTCACTATTGTGTTCTCTTCAATCTCTATATTGCCTCTATTTGTGTGCAGAATATGATTTTTTAATTAGGTAACAGATTTTAGTAGTATATGTACGTAAAATGCACTTTCATTTATTTCGGTAAATAAACCTGTCCAACCAAGAGCCGATCCTACCGTCTTTTGTTTCTAAAAAATATGTATACCCTGTACCGTACTTACATGATAATATAGTATCAGCTAATTCTGAGTAGTAGCAACTGATATTCTATCAATGATTGAAGAATTGATAACAAAGTGTTGTCCTGACCAAAATATATCGAACGCAAGTCAAACATTATTTTTTTAATATCTTTTACTATTTGAATTTGGAATGAAAACGGTAAGAATCGTTTTGGCGCGCAATTAGTTTGATGATCGGATATATTTTATCTGACCATTCATAATTAATGTAACCATTCGTAATTAATAACCTAAAATATTTTTGTTTTGTAACTGTGTAACTAAAATTTTATTATGGCTAAAATAAGTACCTACATATGTCGTGCAAGTAATACATATTTATATAAATTTTAACATTATACTATATATTAAAAACTTCAATATAGAGGTCATCAAATATCCTTTTGTTTATTAATATCCATGTGTACCATAAAACAATTTAAATCAATACTATTTACGTAATTTCCAATAATTTGATATCATAAAAAAAGGATAAAACTAATAAGTTAGAGAGAGAGAGATTTACATCTAAATCAGTATTACTTACTGTTAACTCTTAATACCTACTATTTTTTTATCAATATCTACAAATAATTTATTATTACTTTCTATAATTGAATCTCTTTAGTTAGGTATCTTTGTAATAAGAGATTAGATAAGAAACTGAAGTATATAGCGCATTATTAATTTATCATAATTGTTTTGACATTCTTTACAATAGTTTGGTGTATCAAAATGTGGTGCTATACGTTCATTATTTCACTTTTATTAATTAATTATGTTAATTGTAAGTACATTTCGATAAATATGCTTATTAGTAATGCATTATTGATTTTTGATAAAAATGACAATTGCCGATTTATTGTTTTGGGTCAAATGCTCAGATAATTATATTGTGGTAGACTTTGTATATTGGTGTGACGGTGTACTTATGACTCATTTACTATATTTCAGCCGCGGACCAAGTAGGGTTGTATTATGGGTGAAGAGTGTGTTATGGCAGTAATATTACAGGTAGAGTTGCCAACTATGTATACTGTTTTAAACAGTATTGTACTGTTTTTCACTAAATTACACTTTTTACTCTTGTGTTTTCAGCATTTACTGAAAGAGTTTTTTTCAGTAATGATGTGATCAGATTAGTAAGTTGTGCGAATAAGTAATAAAATAATGCTATTTTTCTAAAATACTGTTTAATATTCTTCACAGACATGATTACTTTTTTTCTTGTAAAAAAATGTTGGCAAGCCTAATTACAGGACACGCAGCCATAATAATTTAGTACTTCTCAATGACACCGCCTGCAGTCTATCACAGGCGTCACATGAAGACGTAATAGCGGCGGTGCTATCCATATACAAATATGACAGTTACCTACTAACACTGGGTCGGCAGATTTTTTGTATTTCCAGTTATTGAGATTTTTTTTGTATTTTCAGGTATCGATTACGGTTCTTACAAACACAAATCCGAATACGTGACAGTTCGGGAAGGTGCTCATATGTTTTACTGGCTTTTCTATACTACGGCACCCGTAGAACACTATACTGAAAGACCCTTGATAGTATGGCTGCAAGGTGGCCCTGGTGGGTCCTCTACAGCGACTGGGAACTTTAATATATTGGGACCACTTGATCTAAGTCTTCAAGAGAGAAACTACACTTGGGCGAGTATAAGTCATTACAAAATCTTCTTGATTACTTCGTCTCTTTTTTTATAGAGCTGCGATCTTAATCTGCGATCGATTATACATTAATAGTAAATTTAAGTAAAAAAAGCAAATTTAGGATAATCTTAATAAGAAACACTATTGTATTTGATGACTTTGATGTCGAGCGGTTATAAACTACCGTAAATTTCGAAAGAAGTCACGTATTAATTTTATCCTCTTTAGTTTGAGAGGACTATCGCTGTGCTTATAAAAATAAATTATATATATGTAATCACTTTTAAAAAATTTAAAACATATGTTAAAAGATACCAAACTAGTTAGTAGCTATTTTGGTATCTTTTAACATTATACGATATAGCACATACAAAAGTCATTATCGGAGCTATTGAGTAGTGTAGTTAATTTTCAATTTCAATAAGTACCTATCTGGATATTAATGTAAAACTTTCACTTATAGGTGAAAAACTTTAACGTCCTCTTTGTGGATAATCCAGTTGGTACCGGCTTCAGTTACGTGGAGGATTTGTCATTATTGACAGTAACCAATGAAGAAATAGGTATATTTTTTGCATTATTGTACTAATGCACATATTCAGCGTCTATTTTTAAAATATATTTAAGGTTTAATTTTTTTTGTCAGTTATTAATAATAATTACGGCCTCAGTGGTATAGCGGTTTAGTAGACCATCTTACTTCCAATAGTCGCGGGTTCGATTCCTCGCTCGGTACAAACATTTGTATGCATGAGTATAACTGATTTTATCGTTCTTGGCGTTTATTATGTATGTATTTACAAAAAAAATATCTATGTATCTTAATATTATTGTACAGTAACCGTAACATAAGTTCTGTTCTTAGCTTGGGATTAGATGGCGCTATGTGGATTATCCTGAAATATTATTGTAATGATATATATTTTTTATGTTCTTGAAATAATAATAATAATAATTATTATTATTAATTACATTATTTTGACAAAGGTAGACTTTGTACAGAGTTATCTGCATCTCACCAAGTTTAGCCGCCCAGTAGCTTGATTTTGTAAGCTGTGTTTCGGTTTAAGGGTGGGATATGGCAGTGATATTCAAGTGTACAGCAAATCTTTCTCTCTCCTATTACTTTCGTAATCCTTGTCTCTTTGCTCTACCTACGTACCCAGAGTTGATACTAGGGTACTGACACCAGTAGTCAGCCTTTTAGTGGTAAGTCTGGGTTCAAACTTATATAAGAAAATATTAGAAAGAGTTAATAAATTGAAAGTCTTTTGTATAATTTAACTTACTCATTTATTAAACTTTGTTACAAAATTAACAAAAATTACAAATTTATCCTTTAATAAAGTGAAAAATACTTTTTAACAAAATAAGGCACTTTTCACCAGTGCTCAGCCGCCAAAAACTACAGTGGTCAGCCTCTCTTAAGATCAATAGTTTCAAGCTTAAAGATTAAGAATATTAATAAATAATTAGTCCGGTCATAGAACCTAAAAGGACTTAACTGTGCCCTAACAATCACAACAATCAAATACCTATCTAACTTATATTTAAATCAGTTAGAAACTTCTTTAGTAACATCAGTATTTAAAAAGATTTCAAGTTCTTCTTCTTCTTTCTAAAAGTCGCCGATTAACACTTATCTTCCTTACAGGTTTCTGTGTCAGGAGTTTCAGGATATAGAAGTATATTACTGAGAATTTTAATTTTATTTTGTTTTGATTTCCACTAAATCACAGCCTGTCTTTGTGTATTTTACGATCAATTCCTTATCATAATCATAATTTTTCTTCTTTGTAGTCTCCGTCACTTTACTTTTGGTAGAATCTAGAGCTGCTTTTTTTCTTTTTTTTGTATAAAAAACTATATAAAAAACAATTTAAATATGGACGGTTGAACACTGGGTCTACTGTCACCAGTACTCAGCCATGTAACAAACTCTAACTATTTTAGTGGCCGACTATTGGGTTTTTGACAAATAGCGTTAAAACCAGTAGTCAGCCAGGTGGTTGAGTACTAGATAATGTATATAAAAATGGGACCCAGTAGTCGGCCACTTCATTATTTAATAATTCTTAAGAAAAACATGATACTTTTCATTGATTACAATGCCAAAAGTCTTAATTAATGTAAATTTTAATACAATGTGGCCTAAAATTAACAAAAAAATGAAATAAATTACCATTTCTGTGAACGCTTCTCACTAATAAAAAAATGGCGCGCACGCCGCATGTCGCCTCGTCAGCCGATGACTTCGAAATAGATTCATATTTAATGTACTTCGCAGCCACGTAGCTATTATGTTTGGATTTAATTCTAGCAATGAGAAGTCATAGAAGCTATTTAAAATAATTTGATTAGGTATTTTCTGTTATAGCGCTATTCCTATTGGTTTTAAACCGAAAAAGGCTGAGTACTGGTGCGGGGCCGACTACTAGTCAGTACCCTATATACAATAAATGGCTTACACACAACACTAAAATTAAGAGTAATATCGGTCCGATTTCACAACACACGAGGCGATCCAGGAACCGATATAAGGCACTCCTCACAACTTCTTCGATGTTGTCCTTGATTTTAATATCGTGTGTAGACAGTTTTGTGTAAGTGCATATAAATGAACCAATGCTAATAGGGTAGATATTCAAAGGGTCATTGCTTTAGCTTAAATAGTTGTATTCATGAATATAATTGTTTGTATCAATCAAGGTGTTTTCTATTTATAATGTTTACTAGCTGCACCCGCAACTTTGTCCGCGTGGAATTTTATTTTATTTTTCTAAAATAAAAGTAGCCTAAGTTACTCCTTATTACATCAGCTACCTGCCAAAAACAGTCCCGTCAAAATCGTCATCCATTCAAAGATTAGCCAGACAGACAAAAATTGTAAAAAAAAATATTTTGGTGTATATACCATATTTACATTCATTACAATAAAAATGTATTTAAGTAATTCTATCAGTTGTCTAGTATCCATAACCATAACACATGCTCTGCTTGGCTTGGGATTAGATGGCGCTGCGGGAATTGTCTAAGATATTATTATTAGTATATTAGTTATACCTACGTAAAATCTATCTAGATTTTTCTAACGTCTAAAAATGTTTATATAAATCTTACAGCACAGGATTTCGTTACCTTGCTTAGAGGCTTTTATTCATCAAATCCGGAATTTGAAGACATTCCTTTGTATATTTATGGACAATCATATGGTGGAAAGATGGCCATCGATATGGGTATACAAGTTCACGAGGTTAGTACCGATGTGTATTATTTTATCCATACAAACAATAACATGCTACAACGACGCACATTCACTTTGTGGAATCACCTTCCAGCAATGGTATTTCCGAACCGATACGATATTGAAACCTTCAAGAAAAGAGCTTATTCCTTTTTAAAAGGCCGACAACACACTTACAATTTCCCTGGTGTTGCGGGTGTTCTTGGGCGGCGGTAATCACTTACCATCGGGTGAGCCGCATGCCGTTTGTTCCTTGTGCTATGAAAAAAAAACTAATCAAATGAACAGAGAAAAATGTTGAATCGTCGAAAACTATATTGCCCACTAAGGGAGATAGTCCCTTAGTAGGCAATATAGTTTTCGTTAACATTCCATTGATGAGGGGAGCGGGTTAAGTTCATTGTGTCCGGGGGTTGAGGTTCTTAAATTTCTTGACGTCACCGTTCAAAATCTAATATATATGTGTATATATAATAAGTATTATTTTCAATATAGTATTTATGTATTAAATAGCAAAATTTGAAGTACCTATTAAAGAAAAATATCAAAATATGTAACGTCACACTAGGGAGGTCTCATTACTGTGAGGTCGGGGAGAGGTCAAAATATCACGGTAACGAAATTTATGAATGATCTCTATGAAGTAATTTTAAAAACGATTTTAAATTAACAGGCAGAAGTCCAAGGTTTCCTTAAATCGAATCTCTCCGGTATAGCAATGGGTAACGCGTGGATATCTCCTGTGGACTCCACTCTCAAGTGGGGCTCGCTATTATTAGCAGCCGGATTGGTAGACCAAGAAGGTTATGAACATATACAAACTGAGGCCAGAGAAGCTGAAAGATTGTTCAACGAAGGCCAATATGTCAATTCTACACTACAATGGGCTGCAACTCAAAGGGCAGTATTTAATCGCACAACTTCTGTTGATTTTTATGATATACTCACAAAAATGCCAGTATCAGCGCCGGACACAAGAAGTGCTATAGGTATTTAATTATTTTATTACTTTTAGTATTAACAAATAATATAAAGACTTTTGTATGGCCGTCTGTCCTCACTTCTAAACCACGCGACTGATTTTAATACAGTACACACTTTTATTTCAAACTTTACTTTACACATTGAAGGGGCAAAAACAAGGCGCCAAAGTGTGACATAATGTGATAAATTCAAAATCTTAACTGTCTTGTTCATGTCATGTATAAAGGCGACGGTTACCACTTACTATCAGGTGAATCGTCAATTTGTTTGCAATTCACAAAACACATAAAAATAACTTAAAATCTTAATAATATTATAAACGCGAAAGTTGGTAAGTATGGATGTTAGTTAGTCTTTCACGCAGAAACCACTAAACGGAGTTTGATAAAACTTAAAGTAGCTTACCAGAATAACACATAGGCCATATTTTTTATTCAATTTAACGCGGGTGAAACCGCGGGCAGAGCTAGTATATTATATCCTCACTTTTTTACAGAGCAAGCAAGAGACATGATGATATACGACTCACCTTATGTGTCAAACACCGAGCGTAATGAAGAATGGAATTTAGGCAATCTGATGAATACTCTAGTAAAAGAACTGCTTGAGATTCCGGAAAATGTGACCTGGGGTTCGCAGTCAGATGCCGTATTCGATGCTTTGAGAGGAGATTTCATGAAACCAGTGGTCAAAGGAAGTAAGTAACATAGATTCATAATTTCTTCCATTTGTACACTGCGGACTGGAATGGTGTATGCTCCTGCGCTAACGATGTTAAACGAGGTATAACGGGATAAGTACGAAATCACGTCAACGAATTCATTGTAATGAATTACCCGTGGTGGTTTCCAGGGCCAATTGCGTGGAGTTCAATAGGGCCACTATCCCCTGTTACTAAGAATTGTTGCAATACTGATTTTTTTATGGATGACAATGGAATGGTGCACCCGCCAGCGTTAACGGTTTACGCTGGCGGGCCACCAGTGGATGATGATAAGAAAAAGCATGAGGTCAGATCATTAGCCCTTCGTGACAAATTCACCAAGAATTTATCACGATGGTTTCCACGGGAAACTGCGTGGAGGTCAAAATGACATCACACCGTGATTATTCTTCCTTTGTATAAGGAGGAAAGGTGAATAAGAAACAGTACTGGGCATCCATTGACTTATACAATTTTATAGATGGCATTAGCCATTTATATAAACAGAAGTTACACAAACAGGATCATCCAAAACAACAAACAAATAAAAAGAATTATCAAAGTAGTACCAAATACTTCGAACATTGTTTTTATGTGTTGTTCTGTGTCAAAAGATAGGATAGATCTTTACTCACCACATTTTTCTTTCATGAAACAGTATGTTAACCCAATTTCATCATTGAACCCAGGAGGTCGAGTCAAAGGTATAATAGGACCATAACTAATATAATAATATTATTTCAGTTGAGAAACTGTTGAACGAAACGAATATTATTCTGACCAAGTATAACGGAAACCTCGATCTGATTTGTTCTACACCAGGTAAGACACATAATCTATAAATATTGATACAGACAGTACCTATATCGATATTTTCAAGTTTCATTGGTAATTACGTGTGTTGCGTTAATTAACTAGGCACATTACAGTTAATCTTTTTATGTAACTGGGTCTATTTCCAGTCGATGGTGGTAGTGAAGTTTATTTTAATATTAATTAAACTACATATAGAATTATGCCTAGGTATAATAATAATAAAAGTATATAATTAACCCAGGTAAATATAAATTCAACCAGTCGCTACTTTATATAAATATGTGTAAATAAACATTTTTTATTTATAGGTGCCTCAAGTCTCTGATTTTTAAAGTCGATGCAATTAAGCATAAACACCCTCCCTTTGCCAAAATAACTTATAGATATATAGTAGTTGTCATAAGTATGAGTATATTACTAGAATACGTAATGAGCAACGTATCAGGAATTGCCGATTACCAGTTAAAAGATAATTAATAATCTAATCCCTCAATCAATAATCATTGACCTTCTGTTAATATAACTCATACGAATGATCAAAAGTCAAATCAGTTAGGATATCGTGGAAAAATTACTAAACCTTATCATGGATGGTGTTCAGAGTCAATGTGTGGAGGTCAACTTAACATTGTACAATACCAGTCCACATTACTAACAATCCCTTTCCTTCCATTATCCGAATATACGGTTCATATTTTAGGATCCCTTCGATGACGTTACACCGAAATGGATGTAACCCCGGTGCTTACTGATATAACACAAAATTATCGAAAAATTTCAGGTCAAATACTGTGGGTAGATCGTTTGCAATGGGACGGTGCTGAAGAGTACCGGAATGCACCTCGCCTTCCTATTTGGGAAGATAACAGACTAGAAGGCTATTATAAGTCATACGGCAACTTCAGATTCTTTTGGATTAATTATGCAGGACATAGTGTAAGTATTCATTCATTTTCTATTACTTGTTCCAATTTGAGCTGAAATATCATATTGTTAATACAAATATCATAATACATTTTGTATAACTGTATAAAATGCTTGCTGTTACAAGCGATTTCCGTTTCCCTTATATTTTTAAATAAAAATATTCTATATCCGTTCCTGTGATACGATGTACCTTCGTTAATTCTCATTGAGCTTTTAGCTGTTAAGTCTTAAAGGGGTCACATACAAATAGACCACCTTCAGACACACCTTCGCAAACAGGACATACCTACCTCGAGTTTTTTTTTATACTACTGGAATAGCAAACAAACTGACTACACTACACATTTGATAGTAAATTGTAACAGTGATTCACGTACATAAAATATGTCAGAAGACAAAGTTGTACATAAAATGATGAATCGCCATATACTAATAAATTGATCGTATTTTTTTATTAAAGGTACCAAGGGACAATCCTGCTGGGACCAACGCTTTCCTGCGAGATATGACTTCCTTCGGATAATATTATTAATAAATTACATTTTAAGTATATAGGTACATCAATTTTAATTGAACCCAAAGTTTCTCAGCTTTTCTGTATTACATACGTATAGATAGACCTTCCTTTTGAATCACTCCATCTATTACTGAAAACAACATTAATCCGTTACGGAGTTTAAGCGTACAGACAGAAACCTTTTATAAGAATAGTGATGCTGATAGAAAATTATTATGTGGTAATCCTTGAGTTCTGGCATATATGGATATTGTTCATACCAATGATCAATATTGTTAGAAAATATAGTACACACGCGCACGTGTTTATGAAAATAAATTTGTTATAATTATATTTGTTATTTTTCATATGTAGATACTAGCACAGATATTTATAACACTAGTTAATAACGGAACATTATATATACCTACACGTTTCACTTTATTGAATATCGTGTACCCAACGTGGAAAGCAGTAAAAAGCTAAATAGAAATATTACTCTGAAAGTGAAATCATCTAACTTTATTTTATTTCTATTAATTTGATTAGAAATGAAAAATATCTATGAAATTCTTATACATTTGTCATATATTAATATTTATATAAACAAATGCATACTTTATGATCAAATAATTTACAAACTATATCATTATTAAAAAGTATGTATATAGAGATTTAAATTTATTTAAACGATAATAATAAGTCTATCAGTCAGGTTAGTCACAATGTACCTAATTGTAACTACACTATAATAAATCATAGTTATTTGGTAATTACTCAGAAATATATCTGCTTATATATATTCTTCATAAATAATAGTTAAGTAAAATTACAATGTACGCTACATAAAATAATTATCAGTGACTGAGATCAGTGGATAATAGTACTCTACTTACTAAGTCTCCAACCTTAGTTACAGATAATAAACAAAATGTCCAATCCCGTCCTTTATTCATAAATACGATAAAAGAATTAGAAAGCTAACTTGTATCGAAAGACGAAAATAAACAATAATTGAATTTAAATTCGATGTAACGATTCAATTTTTGAACAAACTTTTGTTTTCGTGAATCGAAAAAGAACACAAGAAGCGTTAATAAATAAAGTTACCGGCTTAAATAAAACATCAATTTCACAATTCTTTTCATTTATTTATATATTACAGAATTCATGTTAAAGATAAAAAACATACGAAGGAATGTCATCAGTAGAAATTCTAGGAGATTACATGTTTTACGTCTTACTATTAGTTTCGAGTTAGTGATATGGCAACACTTTGTGTTAATAAATATTCGTTATGGTAACACATATTATGTTCCTTAATAATTTTAGTTTAATTTTGAAATATTACAAGTTACGGTAACTAGAGTATAAGTTTAGTAAAGAGCTTCATTGTTCGAAGATATCTACTTAGAACTAGCGAATGATTACATTTTCATTGATAAGATTTATGATAATGGAAAGACTTACAGTCAACACAGCTTCATATATATATACGGATATTGTCTAACAAAGGATGTTCACTGCAATGTAGCTTTTTTTATTAATCAAAGCAAGAAACTCTTCTTTTTCTTAACCAGTGTAGGATACTTATTTCTTTGTAAATTTGTTAGTAGTTTACAGTATTTAAAATATAATAATGTAACAGATATTTCGAAATATGAAACACTATGATGATACTTGTAATTCAGTATATTAGAATATTTATTCATAGTAAATAATTAAATTCTGTGTCAATTTCTTGATAATGACATTACTTTCTTATAAAAACTAATAACATTTGTCTATGGTGTTAATAAAGCTATATACTTATATGTTAATACATATACTACACGGGTGTTCAGTTCATGTTCGATTTTCACCTTCATAAAGACCCAATTGTTAGACAATACACGCAAATTTATATTATATAATTACTAAATACAATAATATAACACACAAGTAGATTATAATAGATCAGCAAAACGCCGAGTATGGAGTAACAATATTATGCTACGTATAATATAACTGCTTTAAATGAAACATGTAAAATTTTGTTAATAAAATAAATATATCTAACATTGTAATTTCGTTATCACTTCACATATTGCCCGTTCAGTCGTACGACCGTCATTATCAGCTACTTAATATACATAATGAAATCTTAAGCTAACTTACAAGACATCGAGATTTACAAACAGCGCCTCCAGTCGGGTTAGTCACAACATTATTACAGCTGGACATTATCATAAACAGTTTGATATTTTATTTTAGAACAGTACACACTTACATTCTATTTAAAAAGAACAGAATATAATTAAAAAAATTATAACATATGACATAAATAAACAAAAGAAAACAGATAATTATGACAGAATTTTTTTATTTATAGCAGTCCGATAAAACAAAAGCCACAATTGTCTAAAATAAACTGCGACGTTACCTTTTATTATTTAAAAACTTGAGAAAAAATAAATATTGAATCAACCCGAGCAGGCGCGCTCCATAAACGACCCCGTATTATAAATCATCCACTACTAAATATTAAAGCGTATTCTAATTAACTACATTCTGGGAATGTTTCAATGTGTCTACATATGTACAATACAACATATAAATTAGAAAAATATTTGCTACAGGAAAGCCGGCGCGTCTCACTGATGGTGCACATTATTTTACTCTCTTACTATAAAAGGAAATATGACATGACATTAACATTATACTGTATAAAACTGGTGAGTCGATCGATACCTAAGGTTTCATTTTTCTTTTAAGATTAGTTCCTACCGCGTTACATTTAAGTAAGATTTTATTTATTGTCAAACATTCCTGCGTATCTCCATGATTGAGGTGAAGTCATCATTCAAGTTTAGGATGAGGAAGGTTTTTTATAGATAGTGACCACTGAAAATGGTAAACAAGAAGACATACTATCTTATGTCCGTCGTTTAATTAAATATCTAAAATCTTACACCGTAAAAGGTATAAGTTTAAGGTTAATTTTACTAACTATTATTCAATATATTATATTAATATTATTATAATGTCATTTGTAATTATTTAGTAATTAAAATATAACAAAATATTATATTTCCTATGGTGAAAAATCCCAAGCGGGAAAACCCCATTTTGCAGCGTATGTGAATATGAAACGAAGAAAAAAGCGCTAGTACAAAAAACTTCAAATTTGATAAAAGTAAAACTACCCCATTGGCAGGACGTTATTATTTTCCGTGCATAAAGTATTTAGACAAGTTTTGGAGAGGGTTCTGAATTGGAAGAGTTAGATGACCACCATAAACCGGCATCCACGACTAATACCAATAGAGTGTCATTTAACGATTTAAATTATTTTATATGAGTTTCCGTTACACTGAGAATTCAATATACTTAGTCTTATTCGTAATCGGAAACTCAGCAACGCGGTAAGAATAGAACTAAAAAATTATTCAATTCCAGAATAAAACATACGCAACATGACACCATTAGTGTTCGATTTCTTTGTCTCCGGCCTCCCTTTTTAAACTTATATGATCGCATAATATACAAAGTTAATTAAAAGTAATTACATGAGATTCGTTCTTTGGAAGTTAATATCAGTTTATTGTACTGTAAACATACGGTAAAAATTTCATACCCAAAGCGAATGACCGTGCTTTATAGATAACTAGCGCTACTATATCTTAGGAGACGAGCAATTCGTAAATAAAAAGAATATAATAAACAATTTTGTTTGGTCAAAGTAGTAAGTAAGCGCTTGTGAGTACGAGATTTTTACTATATTTCAAAAAATTATTACTAAATATAACAATTACATGTAGGTATAAAACACATCGTATGCTAATCTGAACTAACAATCTCTAAATGTATGTCTTTAACATGCGTATTAAAAAAATAAAGTAACAGAATGACATTTTAAAATTTCCTTAGTATGCAATTTTCCGTAACAACTCGACGATAATAACGAAAAGAATATTATTTTAATAAATTGTAATTCGACATCAATTATATAATTACGAGTATTTTACTGTAGATGTCATAAGCTTGAATCCGTTTTCATTTGGTACAGATTTCATATGAACCTACTGATCGGACTTATCATTTAACTATCATAATCTTACTGCCTTTGTCCCACCATTATCGATATCAATTAATTATAAATTGTTATCGAATGTAACTTACTATAACAATAGTAAGATAATTATAATTAATAGAGTTGGTAAGTTATCTAATTATTTTGTAACAACACAAATATATATTGTGTTGCTATTTAATTTGGTGTGTATTCTGAATTATTATCATTTCCAACTAATGTTGCGATATGTACACCATTTCGTATTTCAATCATGCTTACTAATCATGTAAAGACTTAAGTTTAATGGAATGATATACTTTTTTAACGGTCACAAAGGCTGAAATACTGTCTGGATACTACTAAGACACTGAACAATGACCTAGTGGTCTTCCTATATAGGATATACAAAATAGGCGGTTTCAATACCACATTATGATATGGTATAATGTATTCCTAGATAATAGAGTCAGCACAGATATGTTGATAGAAGAATAGGTCGTATAGACCAGTTTTAACTGGATACTGAAATACTAATTTGTTATGTCTTAATGTATTCAGAATAAAAATAACGAGCAGAAGTGGCATACATGTATACGACACTCCTTTAAATACGCGAATGGATAACAACAAGGGAAACAATATTTTTAGTACAACACAATATATGCACAAATACAATGTGCATGTGTTAACAACTTATTTTAAATATCAAGTTAGGTCTCTTAGCTTTTCGAAATACGGTTTATAATAGTAGATTATAATTATTTGTAATGTAGTCTAGACCTTTTAGTTTCATTTAAAATTACAGTCAAGACTCGTAGTCAATGAAATATCAAGTTTACATTTCCACAAATTAGTTATAATCTGTTACACACACTTCCTAGTAAACTGTTACTTAACAGATTGGGAGAACTGCTTCACTTTTGGTAAATATTTTTAAGCAATAATAACGTAATTCTATTACTACTCTAATACATATATCTCATAACTTTTAAACATAAGCTTAAATTTTAAAGAGTATTCGAGACGACATATTACGAAAGCTGTCTTTACGTTCAATCTTTTCAAGACTTTTCATCTAAAAATGTTTCACTATTTCTTATGTTTACAGAGTAATCCACAGAGTTAATTAAATAGATGCCGCAAAACAACGACGTTAAAAAAATTAAACATGTCCTAAGCAAATTGACGCGAATTTCCGTGCAATAGCTAGCACCTATACATAACGTGTAATTGGTTAAATGTAATCATTAATGGTATATTTTCATAATTGTAATTATGACCACCTGAATCATTAAAAAAAATACCGATGGCTGTATGGTTCTAGAAACCTTTGCCTACCTACACAGCAAATAGAAAAACAACAACATCATAGAATTTTTAAAACTCAAGTAAAATTTACAGCAGTGGCGAAATAATATTGTCTCATACTTACAAAAGTACGACAATTGTTCAGTAAATACTTGGGATAAAATGTATAGGAATTAATAACGAATGGCTTTAATTCTATTACATATTAAGCCTACTATCACTGAACATAAATATTTTTGTACTTTTTATACACCTCAATCTAAATAGACAAGGGAACATTTACCCGGTCTACGATTTTTTTTGTATTCGCCTAGTACACGGTCTCTTTGTTTTGTAACGAGCAACTATTGTTGAATTATGATGACGACAAAAAATTCCACTTATTATCCTTGACGGTGAGTATTAATACATTGCGGCGTCTATTTATACATTCATAATATGTCTGTGATGTAATCAGAGCCTATAGACAAATAATTCTATTAACTATATCTTTATTGTAAAAGTGTAAATTATGCTTATGCTCGTACATTCCATACAAATGTAAACAATTTAAAAATGTTTTGAATCATAGAAAACATTAATATAGCTACAAAAAACGTCCATTAAATGAGGGTTTTGCTTCTATATAACTACCTCATTAAGAGTAATTTTACAGAATGCCTATTATTTCGTTCTTACTCATATCTTCTGGTAATTCGTAAAGTAAATGTTATAATTAGTTGATTTAGTATTATAGCAAATGAGAGAGAAAATGTTAGGTACATGCAAATAAAAATTACAAATAACAATGTTGCTATCAAATAAAAATATTAATACACTTTTCATTATTGGTTTGACATTTATTCAAACAGTGGATATAAATTTCGCACTTTTCTAATAGGATGTTTGTGTATAGGCGGAGACAATAAGAGATTCAAGAGGAGATTACCAGATTGTTTTGCTAGCTGGTCGGCTCGGGTTATAGTGGATTTGCTTCGGTCGCCTCGGTCGTCGGTAGCGAGTGAACGCGCGCTGATAGAAGATTATGCAGAATGAATACGGCCGGCTTAGGACTACCCTCCATTTCCAGCTCCTAGTAAACAAATATACATTACACAGGAGGACTTTACAGATAGGAAGGAGAACAAACAATTTTTATCGAAGTAGACTTAGTAAAAAGTATTCATCGTGAGTATCTCAGTCATATCTATTTCCGCCGTAATGTAGTAGTATAGCTTGCTTTGGAAGTGTTTTGGTTGAAGGAATGTAAAATTACGGGTTATGTATACTGTCACATAATAATGTCATTGTTGCTGTTCAAGTACATAAGCGATAGTTACCAGTTATATCAGGACATTTAGTGTGTCGCTTCAATTACATAAATAAAATAAACAAACAAGCATTAAAAAAAACAATTTTTCTATGAAATATAATCGGACTCAATATGTGTCACTGCTTTTCGGCCAGCACGACTTCTGCAGAGTACACTAGAGTATCTTACATAGGTAAGCAAAGGTGGAAGTGAGGGCAAGCAGGGTGATGGAAATGAAATTGTTGAATTGTGAATTGGCAGAAGTCGTGCTGCTCGGACCTCTGCTTAAATATGTAAGCGGAGGAAATGAGGGCAGTTACGCGTGGATACATGGTGGATAGATGTTCGTGTATAAGCAGTAAGAACGTGGTGTCCGTAACTAGCAAGAACATGTCATTGTGTCGTTAGCGAGTGCGTGCTGCATGCGGCGGCGTCGAACGTATGTAAGCAATGAGGGCGTGGCGTACATACCTAGTGGCGTATACTTACAAGCGTGTCATCGTCGGCGAAGTGCAGCCAGAGCATGTGTCGGTCGTCGTCTGCGGAAGCTCGCAGCGCGTGCAGCGGGCGACGGTAGAGCGCGCGTGCGGCGGCGCGGCCCAGCGAGGCAGCGGCGTCCCACACGAGCACGCCGGCCGCGCCCAGCGCCAGCCGCGCGCCCGCACCGCGCACCCGGCACGCGAACGAGAACTCCGCCGGCGCCCGCACCGCGCCGTGCGCGCCGTCCACCAGCGCACCCGCCACCGCCGCCAGCTCGTGCGGCGTGTCCGCACGCAGCGCGCGCACCTGTACACACCCACACACACTTGTACTCTCTACTTCGACGAATTGAAAGGTACTTTGTGTTTACAAACTGCAAAAGTATGTATACCTATTTAACGTTTATACGTTTAAGTAGATTTTAACGTAATTTAACATAATGATACATAATGTGATCACGAGAATTGTTAGATTTTATATATATATAAAATTCCCGAGAGAGTTAGTGAAATAAGGAAAAAATATTGGACAGATAAAATTAGCAAAGTTTTTCTCAATCTCTTCCTCTACATTTACATACGCACTCTTTCCTGTGTGAAATCCGATTCCCGCGTGAAAGAGAGTAAGTGTAAAGACAGGTAAGTTATGTCTTATAAAACAGACTCCAGCGAGATGGTTGTAAAGACAAGGGAAGGTGTATTATTTAAGACACGTACTGCGACGCCGGCTGCGGTGCCCGCGCGCACGCCGAGCGCAGCCGCGCCGCCCCCCGCGCCGCTCCCCGCGCCGGCCCCCGCACCCCCGCGGCGCCACCACGCGAGCCGCGTCGCCGCCAGCACGAAGCTCTCGGTGGGCGCGCACCACGCCTCGCCCGACCACGGCGCCGCTTCGTACAACCTGCCGTTTACAAAAAACAGTTTGTACGAGGTTGACGACCTCGTGGCATACCTCAGTTTCATCAATTTCCATCGACGAGCTTATCAAACTGAAATACTGAGGCTTGATTGTGTAATACATTTGTAATTGATTCTAATTGTGATTTCTATGATTTATAAATAGACTAAATACATTAAACTATACTAATGAACATACATAGAATGTAGAGTTAAATAAATATTCTAATATTTATTAAAGTCGATTGAGAAATGAATTAGAAATAGCAAAAACGTTTTCAATGTGCATGTTTTTCTTACTGACCTTAATTCTCGGTCTGTAATGGCGACAAACGTCGGTTGCCAACCTTCCGCTTCATCAGAACTATCCGAACCACCCGAGGCGCTCATCTGCGAAATCATATTCAAATATAAATATAGTGGTATGAAATCGCTTATATTATTAAGCCTAGAACTTTCTAGTGGAATACAGACGTGGTCTTGCGGCGGTCGGCGCGCTAGCCAGCCGGCGTAGCGCACGTCTCCCAGCAGCGGACGCAAGCGTGGCCGCGCACGCGCGAGAGCAGCACGTGCAGCTCGTCGTGCAGCTGCGTGCAGCGCACGGTGCCAGCCCGCGGCCGCACCCGCAGAACTCGCACGGAGCGCCAGCGCGTGTACGCCGTCCGGCGAGTAAACCTCGATCGTGCGATCTTCTGCATAGATAACAACTTTCATGTACCTTACATTTTTTTATGTAATTAGACGAGCAAACAAGTTGACTGACCACCTGATGCTAATCGATAAACGTCACCTATATACATGAACAGCTCTAATAACATAAAGTTATCATGTGACACTCTTGATACCCCTTATGTGTTGCCAGTTTAGAGGACTAGGATGTCAGTCCTATTATCCTGTAATTACACTTCCATTTATATCCTACAATTGAAACAGTTTACAAAACATGCTGCATAACGGCTGATATAGCTGAACTGAGTTATAAAATATTCTCTAAATTGTGATTTAAAAGGGGCCACATAAAGATAATAATAACACGAGGATTATACACAAATATAAAATTTGTCTATCCTACCATAAGTTAATGAGTAATCCATTATTTCCATTCATATCTAAAATAAACACTACAAGAGGAAAAAATTTTAGGTTAATAAATTCATAAACTTGAAATTATTTTTCATCTATAAAAAAATACCTTAGCAGAGATTAACATGGGCTGCATATGTATTGCAGTTTTTTTAACTTTTGTAAAACTTTTTATCAATTTTGTAAATACAATTTTGATCTCTATCAACATATATAGGCTACTTTCTAAATTCACTAAATTCATGAAATTTCTTATTTGTAACTTACCTGGATCATGGTGCCGAAGATTCTTGGCTACACAAGCCATCAACAAAGGCACATAGCGGGTATCTGCACGTCGACGGCGTGGGGACGGTGGGGACGGAGGAGCCTCTGCCATATAACCACGCTGCAGTTCCCATCCAACTTCACTTATGATAGAAGCCTTACGGAAGTATGGTGTGACTTCCCGCAGATATTTTACTATAAAATAAAATACATTATTATTATTATATATACACATATTTTATTTCTGTACTTACTAACATGTTAAATAATAAATGTGTTAGTTTGGTTGTCACTTCTTGGTCCATTAACATCACATCCATTTACAATTACTTAATGCATTGCATCCCAGTAAATTAATTGCCTTGGTCACATAAAATCACAGTTTCAATATAATCTAACTTTTATTCCCCGATTACTAACAATAAATATTACAGTTTATTAGGATTATTTTCTATCAATGCTTACTTGATGACGACAACTAATTAATTAATTTTATCTGCAGATATTCATTAATGAAAAAATATCAAATAGCAAGTAAGTTAATAGCCAATAATCTAATAGCAAACACCAACAATCGAAATGATAACAAAATAAACAGCATCACAAATGTTGCAGAATAGTGTGGCCTAACATATAATAAATTTCCTAATCAACCTGTGAGTTTTTTATTAAGGGGTATGGGCTATTATCATGTGCTTTAGACATGTAACACTGCAACCTACATTGGTTTATTTTGCTGGCCTTTTAAACCTATGATACTCTTCAAGCATTGAAATGGTAGATGTTTCAAACTTATCTATGTAAATGTTTAGTTGTCCTTTATTTGTAATGCCTAAAAGTCTATCCATAACATGATTTTGATTTCGAACTGCGTGAGAAATATACAAAACACATGAAATATTCTTACTAGTATGATCATTACAATGTTTGTATACAAATTAGAAATGAACTGTAATATTATATTTATATGCCATAACTAATTCTAGATTCCATTACAATAAATATTAGCTACAATATTCATCAACAAATTAATTATAAACTATAATATTATTATATTTATGAACAACAAATAAATTCAAAAATTTAACAATTAAAACATTTATATCAATAGAAGTACAATATCCATTTTATTGAAAAATTGTAACACATTAAAATATTTTAAGTAAAAAAATATAGTTAAAATTTCCTTTGATACTTAACACAGGATATATTTAACATCTAGACATACTTGCCGATGAGTAATTCAGCCAATGAATAGGGTCAATTACCAGAGGCCATAGGAATGATTAAAAAATTAACTATGTAAGCACATATAATATATTATTACTGTTTCAATTCAATTGAAAATGTACCTTATAATATATTAATTTTTTAATCATTCTTATGCCTTAATTTGTATGCAATATCATAACTGAGCATAAAAAAAGATTGCAATAATCTACCTATCAATCTTTATAGTAACACATTAATTGCAAATCAGTTATTATTATGACCACAATAATTTAATACTTGCCTTCCAACTGAACCATTTTTCCTGCTCGTTTCAGAGCTTTTACTGCTTCCTCATGTGTTGCATCTTTCAGGTCCTCACCGTTAACAGACAATATTGCATCACCTACATACAACTGTTCCGTTAAATCTGCTGCCATACCTTTGAATATTTTAGAGATCAATATTGGCATATTGTTCTCTATACCCCCTTTAATTGATATTCCTAAGCCATTATTATCCGACTTCACCACTTGCACTAAACGTTTTTGATTTGCAATGGTTTCGGGTACTTCAGTGAAGTCACTGTTAGGAGTCTCTACATTATTGTTATTGAGTGTCCCGTTAAGAGTAGTGGTGGCATCGTAACCATCGTCCAAACACACACTCAGATAATCGTCTTCCAATGAGCAATGCACTCTGTACCACACACCACGCACTAACGTTTCCAGAAGACCAGAACGAGCGCATGTTGCACTGGGGCTATCACTGCCCCCACTTGATGCACCGTTTTCCACCATAATTCTAATGGAAAGCTGGCTACTTAATCACAACAAATGACGAGATCATGGAAACTCGAACAAACAAACACAAAACAACCTACATCAATTGATTTTTAGAATGGAAGACACGACATAGTAATTCACTTCATTTTTAACATGTTATTACTTCGATTGTATGTGTAAATAGATGGGAATTAATTAAAATTATTCGCGTAAATAGAAATTAATTGCACAATCAATATACATATTTGACGTTCCGCCCAGCTTGTGTTCGGAAATCTCTCATGTACAAATATATGTAGTCTGTGTTCGGAAATACAGTCCCATTAAAAGAATAATGAAATGATAAGGTTCAATAGGATAGTTAAAAGAAGAATTGTCTTAATATTGTTTATAATTATAAGTACTTTGTGATCAATATTTGAAATTATTCTGTATAATTAGAAATAGTGCAGATCATAACATATAATGGAAATAATGCTTAAAAAAGGCAACAAGATGGCGATACTGCAAAGTTTCATAATAGACGCGGGAGTTTTAAAAAGACAACTCGCCTCACCGTCGTCGTACATGAAGGTACACCCACACAGAGTTGCTTGCTTAACAAATATGATAAACATAGCCAATGGGATTTGGATAGCCAGCTAAGCTATTCTGAACAGAAAACTAATATATATAAAATAGATAAATATTAGTGTCTGGAATAACTTACAAAACATATACATATATACCCTTCACGACTGTAATCTCAATAGGGATGCTCAAACAACGTTATCTAGGCGCTGCTGAACAGCAGCATTTTAAAGATATTTTGCATTTAAATGAAACATACTTCATAAATAAATCATGAATATTATAAAAATGACAAAATGTATTTACCTACTTCAATTATCGTAAACGACGTGTGATTTTACCTCATGTGATCTTAGTCTTATGATCTCGACCATGCATTATATACATACTTTATTTTTAAATTTGTATTTATAATTTACATCATTTGGCTCCATTATAGTTATTGTCACATGTAGGTAACATGTGATAATAATTATAGTGAGTCAAATGACCTAATGTGTTAATAGCTGTCTAACTACAATATATCATAAATCAACAAGTCAGAACATCACACAACAGAAATCAGTAAAGTTAGCCCAACCTGAACCTGAACAAGAATACCACCATGTTCAATTGTACCTAATGTCGCCATCTTCACAAGACATAACATTAGACATTCCCGATCTGATATCTCCTCTACCACAGTCGCCGAATGTGGAACCACTTGTTACTGATTTAAATCCTTCGCCTGTCCCAGACAGAGAGGAAATAGATTCTGATAACGCCGAAGATACAGTGAATACTGACGTTAGGCGAGATTTGTCGGGACAGTTACCTACAGTTCCAAGAATATCACCATATTTAATTGGAATGTCGTCATCTCCACAAGACATAACATTAGACATGCCCGATCTGATATCTCCTCTACCACAGTCGCCGAATGTGGGACCACTTGTTACTGATTTAAATCCTTCGCCTGTTCCAGACAAAGAGAAAATAAATGTTTCCGTAAATGCACCGGAAGAAAATCAACTAGAATATAACATTTATATTCATGCAAACCTTAGGATTGCGAAAGGCACCTCAGCTAGATTAAGCTGGGTAAAAATATTCACTCATATATTCGCTTCTCTTTGCGAAGATAGAGGTTTTAAAAATAAGCTGAAGATGTTATTCTCAAAAGATACTTTATTCTAGCTAACTGTAGTAATTTAATGGCTCCTATATTGAATCCAGAAGCTAGGGTTGTAATGCCGGATATTTGAGTTAAGAAATATGCCACGCTATTACATAAACAAAGTCAGATTGGTGTTGCGTTGTCTGCTTTGGCTGAGCTCACCGACCGTTAATTGCGCTAAGTATTGACTTATTTCAGTCAGCCAGTCATTGCAATTCTAAATGCAATACATATGTTATATAGAAAAATTAATCGGGGCCATTGATGCCTTCCCATTTAAATTTTTACGGCTTTCTATCATTTTCAATTATATTGAAAATTATTAAAATAATAATACTAGACAGTCCGTCCTGTCTAGTACTATTTTTTTAATAATTTAAGACAGGGGTATAGCGACCAACCCAACCATGGTAAGGGAAACCATGGTTCGGTTCTTATTCAAAAGAATATATCAGTCGAACTTATTTTTCACCATGTATCACTTGTTTAAATCTTACAGATCCGTGCATAGCTTACACCGCTCTCTATCAATAGTTGCCGATTGCTTTTGTCATAATTATGATTATACTTCTACATCTACATCGAGATGTAATAATAGAGTAGAGTTAATCCCATCAAAAACATAAATGTGAAATGATAGCCGAGTTTAATATTATGATATATGCCTTGATTGTTGACTTCTACGACAAAAGAGATGAGATCTAAATGGGTGCCAAGTTCAATGGTCTGTCCTGAAATGTATTTATAACAATATAAAATATCATTTCTTCTTATAACTTAGGATAATATACTGTAGCCTAAGGTCTAACTTGGCCAGTTCTCATATACCAATTATTACTTTCGATTGCTAGTTACTATTAATAGTAAAATAGGAACCGACAAGTAACATGTTTAGAACTTGCGAAGGCTACAGTATATTTCGTATATGAAAACTAGCCAAGTTAGATTAGGCTACAGTATATTATTTAAGTTATAAGAAGATCTGATATTTTATATTGTTATAAATACATTTCAGGACAGACCATTGAACTTGGCACCCATTTAGATCTCATCTCTTTTGTCGTAGAAGTCAACAATCAAGGCATATATCATAATATTAAACTCGGCTATCATTTCACATTTATGTTTTTGATGGGATATCATTACTTTTTGTACATAAATTATACGAGGTACTTATTTATAACTAAATTAATACCAAATTATTTTTGATAAATTACTGTATTTTCGTATATTTACGGGGTATAATTGTCTTTTTTTGTGTTATTTTCTATATTTTCTTGTAACTTTTAAATGTTCAAGTGCAATGCCAATTCAGTATCAGGAATTTTTGGGCAAATCGGGGCGGTATAACGTCCACAGATGGTTGTACTCTACGCGCTCTCGTGCCTTGGATCAAAATTGTTAAGACGTACTCCATCTAAGGTTTTAACTCTGAAGAGTCCAACGTAAACCTGCCCTTTATTAAATATAGAGAAGGCTATGTTGAGAAAAGGACTGCCAAAACTAAGGCCTTGTGATTTGTGGATAGTAATAGCATATGTTAAGCAAATACGGAATTTTTCCCTGTCAACATATACATTATTTAATATCTGAAACTTGTTATTGACACGTTATAGTTCGTAAAGACGATTATGTAACAAATTGACTGTTATCTATTGAATTCTCAAGAAAACAATTTGTTACCAATAAGTTCTCATTCTCGAGTTAACTGTACATTCCTACTTATAACTATACTAAAATTGTTATTAATTTTTGGTTTAAACTATTGTCTATACCATACGTATTTACTAAAATAATGTAATAATAATAGAATCACAAATATATAAGTATAATTTAAGAAAGCTATAAATTTCGTAGCATAAATCGCAACCTTATAGGTTAGATATCCAGAAACAAAACATTGAGTTTTATCGCACCGCTCCCACACGGCGCCGCTGCGGCGCCCTATACCGAAATGCCTATTATTTAATAATTATTTATAAAAATAATGATTTTACACTATCGATGTGCGCTAAACATTGAAACAATAATTAATACCAAATCTCAGTTAATAACATAATAAATACGAAATTCGACTATACTCCTAGTTATAAGTATGAGTATATTTTAGACAGAATCTAAATTATAGCAACTAGTGTTTACCGCTCAATGCAATATTTGAAGTTTGCTAGTTATCGACACTGATGTGAAGGGGTCAACGTAAATTGGTAATGATCGACGTTTTCATACAATATTACTTTCGGTCCAGTACAAGATGAGATTTTTCGCCAGGGATCAATGTCAATTGGTGGCTATCGACGTTTTCATAGAATTTTAGTATTCGTCCAGTATAAGTTGAAATAGAATCAATTAAAGTGAAAAATTGTAGTAAAATGATAACAATTTACCAGTTTCAGATTTTTTCCTTTATATTCACCTAATTACCTATCTGCATACCAAATTTGAACTTCCTAGGTCATCTGGAAGTGGGTTATAATTTTGATCTATAGTTGATCAGTGATAAAAATGACGATTTTTGGACATTAATATCTAAATAACCGTTTGAGACATGTTTATGAAATTTGGAACACATATTTATCTCGCAAGTCTCAATATATGAACCAAATTTGACAGGTTTGTGTGAAAGAGTTTTTGAGTTATGAGGGGGTCAAAAGTGGCTCCAAATGGTTCGTGTAAATATACACACGGTGCTGCAAGCCAGTTTACTTGAAACTCGGCTTGACACGCTGCCGCGTGTCTAGATAATAGAGTTTTTAACGGATGCTTTTGATTAAATATAAATAAATGTGACATTCAAAGTTTGTAATAAAAAATACCCTTAAAAGGGGTAAAATAAAATAGGGGAAAAAAGTTTTTATGTAATATCGACATTTTTTAAGCTAGATGCTTGAAAATTATTGTATAGTCATTTTTGAAGCTAAAACGATGAATCTTTTTTATTTGGCTTATATTGAGTTAGGTCATTAAATATCTATTGTTTCATCATTTACGCGGACGAAGTCGCAGGTACAAACTGTACCTACATAAAATTAAACTGCTACGCAGCAATAATGGCAACAGGCTTTATGTCAGTTTTAAAAAACCTCTTTCTAAAATCGGTCTAGACTATTAGCCATTAGTTAAAAAATATATTAGAACTTGCAGCGTATATTATGGATAAAATATATATTACAACGATTTTAATAACTATTTGACTACAATATTTCATAAATCAACACTCCAGAACATATGAAAGAAAGAGATTCCAGAGAGATTTTTAATGGTAGTGTACGAGTGGAGAACGTTAAGATGATATATGGTAGTCTACCTGTCATGGGAAATTGACTACGATTGTATCCAAGACGATTCGCATGGTGGTCGAGCAGTAACGAGCCAATTAAACCACATTTCTAATTCCCTATCCTCTCCCCTCCCCAATCAGCAACTTACATTGCTAAAAATGTAAACAGTGTAGGCCTCCCAATATACCCTACCCTTATACCACAGATAACATAATATTACATTCTTATGCTAAATCGTGAGGATGCGACCCAAGGTATTTTAATACATTATCCCGCTAATAGCACATAAGTAAGTGCTGATAGAATAATTTTCGCGCTTACAAGGTCGTGCTGTGGTAGTTGAAGAAATTCTGTAAACCTCTTTATTGAAATAAATTTATGGATTTGTCAAACGGTTTTATAAACATATGTGGGTGGCACTTTATCAAGAATTTTAAAAATATTTACTGTGATAATAATTAAAGTAGATAAATATATATCTTATTATCGTACTGATTACAGCTAAAGATCCCACCTACTTGAATACTTATAGTGTCCGATTGTAACTAAGTTGTAGAACTGAAACCGAAATTGAAACCAAATTTCGAAATCTCACCCGGTTTTGTCTTTACCCATTCCTAAAAGTTTTATGTGTCTGTTAAAATCTTATATAAATATATAAAACAATGTAACTTGGTGTAATAGTGATGATTTCACTATCGATCGATACCTACCCGTCATAAATTCGACCAAGTTACTCGTAGTAAAACCGAACTCTAAAGTTGTATTGTATTACGTATATTATTAGTAACATATCTATACGTTATCAATCAAATCAGATATTGAATTAATATTTTATTAATCTGCAGTTGCTTTTAGTAGAATAAGGTTTTAGGTTGAGTGATACGTATAAGTGTTTATAAGGACTTCAATATGAGAAAACGCGATTTAATTGGTACTCTACTTTTAGCTCTAATAATAGGAGCTGGGTTGGCAGGCTTAATATGGTGGTTAGTAGAAGGACGCCACTCACCGTACACCACAATATGTAAGTAATACCATAGATAACATGTAATACCCATCGACCGCATTACAGTATTTTCAAAATCCATAAACATATTTAGAGAGTGCGTAAATTTGTGACTATATTTTAGTTAATATCTGAAAGCAGTTTTAACAAAAAACTGTCTCTATTTGGTTTTGCAGATAGGATAGACTATATCTACTTACATAGATCAACATGGATGTAGTCGGTACGGTTTGTAATAATGCAAAGCCGTGAAATATATATTTATAGTAGTAGTAATATAAGAGTATAACTACATGAAGAAATTATTTTAAACACAGTCACTATAAGAGAAAAATTTTGTCTTTTATTTGTTTTTATTTCATTGTGACCTGATTTTCATTTAGATATTTATTTTAAACCTACTACACATTGGAGGAGGTTTTCTTTTTAACTACATTTTATTTATTATACGATATCTTTGGTAATTCTCAATCGACTTTTTTGATCATATTTCTTATTTCATTCAGCTTCCAATAAAAGAAAATTAATTATAATAATTTGACAACAAATCTTGGTATTAGTTTACATATTTACAATTATGTTGGTGTACTTTTGTTCCATATCCTCATATTGCTTTGCAAGGTGTACTCCGGTTTGAATAAAATAGAGTCACTATGTTCTCAGGAACGGGTCTCACAATGTACGTTCTCTTGATAACGATGCCTTAAAACACTTAAAAAAATACATTGGCCAGAACTGAACGGATTTGATTCATCTTTCATCGACAAGTTTTTATAGATTTACCTTAAACCTCTTCAAGTATAGAAACACTTTCAAAATTTTAGCCTTAGCGTTTAGTTTTTACATTTACATTTGTTATTTCAGTACTAGAAGAAGATGGCTTAGGACATGTACGCTACAATGCAGCCTTAACCAGAATACATGACGTCGGTAATATATTTTGGTGGTTCTACCCTACTACGCGGGCTGCCCCGACTACTCGACCTATAATATTATGGCTGGACGGGGTGACAGGCTTGCCTCCAAGTCTTCTCGCTAACTTTGGGATGTTTGGACCGTTAGACATCAATATGAACATAAGGAACGACTCATGGGTATGTTCTAGTCAAGCATAATATCTTCGTTCATTGCATTTAATGCTTTGAATGCAATGAACGAAGGTTTTAAATCGAAGGTTAATTAAGGTTTTATTATCCAGGTAGTTCTTCTAAAAAGTCGTCTCCGTATCTCAGTTTCACCTATTTCAACCTCCAGCAGCTTCGTATGACGAGTTTTGGTCGATAGGTGAGATAAAACAGCGAAATTACAGGATAAGAGGCATGATGTCTTAATCCTCGGGAATGTCAACATCGGAATATTATCGCGAATGTAATTTGATAACATGATGTTATTAGTACCATTCTTCTATACCTATAGGCAACGGTTGCAATTTACTATCAGGTGGGCCATCTGCTTGTTTATCATTACAATTACATTGATTGGAATAAAATATAATACAAATATAAAAGCAAATTTATAAAATTTCTCTGAATACTTTAAGAAGGAGTTTTTTTTTGGGGTTGATATTTAGCGGTTGAATATTTATATTAGCTCGTAACAAAGTAATTCCTGCATTGTCTCTTAGGTAGGTAAAATTAGTAGGTATAAATAAAAATAGCCTTCGCTTGCCCAGTATTGGGAAAACGTCAAAGTGGACTAATGGAACTACCAACAGAATATTGCAAAGGCCGTGTAGAAAGCAATGTTATTACAAGTACCTTATCCCATATAATCAGCATTATTATTAAGTAGGTAAATAATCTACGTTATCGACTAATATATTTTAATTTCCAAGGTTAATAGTTATAATCTACTGTTTGTTGATTCACCTTTGGGCACGGGCTTCAGCACTGCGGATGAAAATAGTGAAATTCCAACAACTCTTGAACAAAATAGTAAGTATATTGCTAGCGGCTATTACCTTCCTTTTCTTATTTTTAGATTTTAGATTAATATAATAACCCTGGATAATTCCCACAGCGCCATCTAGTCCCAAGTTAGGTAGAGCTAGTATTAGGGTTACTAAACAACTAACACAAATACTTATGCAGTTTTTTTTTATTATAGGTATACATAATATATATGAATACAAATGTATGTGAGGTGCGAGGAATCGAACCCGCGACCATTGGGAGTGAGGCGATACATAAAATTTAGCCTAAGTTCATCTTCGTGATAGTCTGTATTCACATCAAATTTAATGAAATCCATTTAGCCGTTTAATTTTGCATTTGTAGTATAAAGTATGGATTCGCAAACGTAAACTTACCTATTAAATATGGGTAGCCTAGTATTATGTAATGACTAGTTATTACCCGCGATTTTTGCCTTTTTTAGAAATAAAAGGAGGCGTATGTCGGTCTTCAATATATAATCTAATTTTAGGTCAAATTAGATTATTATCCATTCAGCTGTTTACATGTGAATAAAATACAGACAGAATAAAAGACAGACAAATAAGTATATAGGTACCTATATACTTTCACATTTTATAATATTCTTATGCATATATTTTATAAAAGGTTTGACGTTAAATAAATATGATTTATACGATATATTAAATTAGATTGATTTATTCGATCTCATGATATGTTACAAGACTTATTATTTTATGCCAGCTTATCGATTATGTTTTCGTTACGTTGTAATTATTACCTACATACACTATGTTAATGGTCAGTTTATATAATCAGCATTGTTATATTAATTCTTTGTTAATCGATATTTTATCAATTTTCAGGCCAGCAATTGCTTTATGTTTTGGATTCCTTCTACCGATATAACAGTCTATACAGATCAGCCCCGTTATACATTTTCGGGGAAGGTCATGGCGCTCAATTTGCGTTAAGTTTGGCTCTCAAATTGACGGAGGTGAGTTATTAATTTCAAAACAATTATATTTAATTAATAAAATTATCAATATTATCCAAAGCGGTACATCAAGGCAGTGTACCCAAGACACTGGCAGCATTCCGTCTATGAATCGCCATTCTTGTCTTCTTGACAACGTCGCTAACAACTCGCGGGTCACTAATAACCCTGATGAGCCGTACTGCATGCAAATGTATCCACACAGATAACTTTTTACAAAGTCATGGTAGTCTTCAGACAGTCGTACAAATAGATTTTGAAGACAGTATAAATAACATTGCACAAACTTTCCTAGTGACTTTTGGCCTTCCTATCGAAAATTGATAACAATGGATCAATATGATAATTATATTGTATGCATATCTAAAAAAACACTACATATTGTTAGATTATAATAGTTACGATAATAAATATACAGAGCTGTATAGCAGATATATTTATAATAATTGAATGTTGAGATGATCTTATATGCCGATTAATAATGAATTGTTTAATTATAAATAGAAGTAATGTTATTGATATCGACCGAGTTAGTTTCATAATTTTTATAAAAATAGTGAGGGTACAAAACTGATCTGTAAACGATATTTAGAGATAATTATTCATTCTTGTCTTGGCCACAGTTGTGTTAAGACGTACAAATAAAGTATTAGAATATAAAATACGTTTTCATTTCTGGTAATAGCTAGAAAAAACCCATTTAGCTATTATCAGAAGTGGGATCACCGCACATATTTCACTAAAAAACATGGGTAGAAAGCGATCAACAAATACACACGCCCATAGTGCAAAGAAACGAAGTCGACGACGTAAAGATTATTCATCTGACGGATCGTCTAATAGTTCTACACATCGACGAAAAGTATCCAGAGATAAATCTTCGAGGAACAGTAAGAAAAGAACACGATCATACACGCCGGAGCTAGTAGGAAATCGTTCAAGAAATGAAGAAAGACATACAAAAAGCCGTGGACGGTCCACACGCTCAAGTATTACTGCGACTGGACGTGAGAGGGAGCCGCCTCTGTCAACATCGGAAGCGCGAAGGGTTCCAGAGGAGCAGCCGGCGAGTCAGTATCCAGTGGAGCCTGCTGGTCATTCCGAACCTATGAATGTAGCAGCCTCCTCGGTACCCCCCGCGGCTGTCACACCAGAAGCAGGAACGTCTTGTGAGTACAGTTCTAATATTACTCCTAATGTTTTGGTAAATATTAATGAATTTTCTAGATTACTACAGTCTTTTGTTCGGCCTAATCCACCATCATCAATTAATTATAATGCTAATATGATACCCGAATTTGACCCGTCGATAAAAAATCACCGTATTGATCAGTGGATAGCTAAGGTTAACGAATGTGCTCAAATATATGGATGGGACAATATGCAAATTATGCATTACTCTTTACCCAAACTTACGGGTAATGCGAAAAAATGGTATCAAGGACAGACAACTATTTTGCATACTTGGGAACAATGGCAGGTCCTCCTACGTAAGGCTTTTCCTACAGAAACGAATTATGGGGTTCTTTTAATGGAAATGTTAGAACGGAGACTTCAATTTGGAGAAAATTTAGATGAATATTATTATGATAAAATTATGTTATTGAATGCATGTAACATCTCTGGTAGGCAGGCTGTAGATTGCGTTATTCATGGAATTAATGATAGAACCATACGGGCAGGCGCGTCTTCTGCCCGTTTTACCACTACTGAGGATCTTTTTAAATACTTGAAGGATGTATGTAAAGAGCAGAAGGATATATCTCGTACCGCACAATTGAATAAAAATAGGGTTATTAACAATATAGTATGCAATAAATGTGACGAAATCGGACACAAGGCTGCTCAGTGTCGCATAGTCAACCCCAAGGCAGTCTGAAATTTAATCCACCAGCGGTTTGTTTTAATTGTAAAGATAAAGGCCACAGGGTACATCAATGCCCTAAACCATTAATAAAATGTGACTTGTGTAGACGATTTGGTCATCTTAGCAATAACTGTTTTCAAAAAAATGAATCTAAAAACAATGAGAAACGGGTATTATTTGTTAATGGCGCAACTAGTCATAATTTAAAGTATCATAAACAAGCTTTCATTAATAAACACCGAGAAATTGAATGTTTTGTTGATTTGGGGAGTGACTGCACGCTTATTACCCATGGAACAGTTATCGAGTTAGGGTTGCACATTTTTAAAGATAATCTACCCTCGATACGCGGTGTCGCTAATGTTAACATACCCTTGTTAGGAAAAACATCCTTCCAGTTACGTATCGATTCTGTAGAAGCTGAGGTTGTTGCATATGTTATTGGTGATAACCACCTTCACATACCCTTATTAGTGGGTCAGAATTTTACGGAATTGCCAGAAATAGTAATCACTAAAACCAAAAATTACCTAAGCATCGTGTCTCGTACGATTATAACATCAAATTGAACAATGATACAAATAATAAATGCAAGTTGTATGTCCAATCTGACTCTGAAATTCAAAATATAGACTTATTAAAATGTTACTGTCACGATTACAAAAATGCCGATATTTATATAAAAGGAAGTTATCGTAATATTGAAGGTAAAGAATACTGTATACAGGAAGGCATATATAAAATAATAAAAGGAGAGTGTAAAATTTTACTTATAAAAGTTAATGACCTCGATAAACCCCTTTATTTTGTAAAAGACTATTTGATTGTGCGCGCACAACTCATCCGTTTAGATGATGCTCTCTTAGATACAACTCTCTTAGATCATCGGGAGAAGATGGAATTTTCCCGGCCCTGTTACAACAAGGGCTTGACATCCTATCTCCCTATCTGGTAAGAATATTTAGAGCCAGCTTTGCCTGGGGTTTTATACCAGAACCATTAACGAAGGTCAAAGTTACCTACGTACCGAAAACCGGTCGAAGAGACTACTCGCAGCCAAAGTCTCACAGACCTATAAGTTGTAACCTCTTTCATAATAAAAACCATGGAAAAGGTTCTGGACACATTAGAGCTACAATCCTCGAAAATGCTCCCCTGCACAGGAATCAACATGCCTACCGCAAGGGACATTCCACAGAGACCGCCTTGCTCGAACTCACCGACAAGGTCGAGAAGGCCTTTGAGGACAAACAAATAGCTCTATGTGCATTTCTCGATATTGAGGGTGCTTTTGATAACACGCCCATAGAGACCATCTCACAGGGACTCATCCGCAAGAAAGTGGATGAAACCACCACTCAATGGATCAAAGCAATGCTCTCAAATCGAACCATTAAAACTACTCTTCACAATAGTACGTTAGAAATCCGACCTACCAAAGGATGCTCTCAAGGAGGCGTTTTATCGCCACTGCTGTGGCTACTAACGGTAGACCAGCTCTTAGATGTTATGACCAAAAACCAATTTGAGGTACAAGGCTACGCAGACGATTTAGTAGTCATGGTCAGAGGGTTCTGTGCAACAACAATATCAGACCGCATCCAAAGAGCACTAAACATCATAGTTAAATGGTGTAAGGAAAATGAATTATCAGTAAATCCTGATAAAACAGTAATTGTTCCGTTTACAAAAAGGAAGAAACTTGACAAACTTGTCATGCCTAAAGTAAATGGAAGAATATTAGATGCTCCAAAGAAGTCAAGTACCTGGGCGTAACCTTCGACCAAAAACTGACATGGAACACACACATAGACAACATAACTCAAAAGGCGAAAACATTAGGTATAAGCCGACGGGTAGCGGGGCCCAGATGGGGAATCAACCCCAAAATTGCCCTATGGCTTTACACAGCAGTGGTGAGACCGCTTACCACCTATGCCTGCGCTATCTGGTGGAGGAAAACCCTCCAATCCACAGCCGCCACCAAGCTAAACAGCCTACAGAGAATTATTGTCTGATTATTACATGAGCACCACGCCAAGCTCTAGACGCATTATTGGACTTGACGCCCCTTCCTTTATTCATACAGGAAAAGGCGAAAGCCAATATGCTCAGAATAAGTTCCCAAAGGAGGATATCTTGGCATTCCCTGGCCATAAAAACTATACAAGACTCGATTATGAGTGATCCTATTCTGGGAATGCCTGAAGACAACATGGCACCAGAGTGTAACTTTGTACAATATTACAAAATCGAAATATCTGGAAGAGACGAATGGCAAAATAACCATACACCGTCTCACTCAGAGCATGACCTAGTCTGGTTTACAGACGGGTCCAAAATAGGAGATGATGTAGGATGTGGAATATGTGGTGTAAAACCCAAAATCTGCAACTATATAGGCTTAGGAAAATACGCCTCAATCTTTCAGGCAGAGACTTACGCCTTAATTAGATGTCTGGAAGTAATCCTAAGCCTCAACTACATCAATCAGAACATATACATTTATTCGGACAGTCAAGCTGCTCTACTAGCACTTAACTCGTACGAAATCCGTTCTAAACTTATTAGAAACTGTATCCTGCTACTAAATGAAGTAGGAAGCAGAAATAATATTATTCTGAGATGGGTCCCCGGGCATTCAAATATTGAAGGCAATGAGAATGCCGACCATCTGGCAAAGTTAGGGGCAAAAACCGTCCAACTGGGCCCCGAACCCTTCTGTGGTGTGCCTCGTTGCCTAAAACTGGGACATCTCAAATTAATAACCAAACGAGAAGCACTGAATCACTGGCAAGAAATGCCAGGATTAATACATTCAAAAGACCTTATATCGGGCTTCTAGACCAAATACTCCAATCGATTACTGCTATTGAGTAAAAACAACATATGCATGATGACTAGGGCCCTCACAGGACACTGCAAATTGAACAAGCATATGGCTAAGCTAGGCCTATGCACGACTAGTATCTGCAGATTCTGCCAAACTGAAGAGGAAACGCCGCTTCACATCCTATGTGGTTGTAGCCCAAACATGCATAAACGAAATATCTCCTTTGGAAAGTTTACACTCTTTCCCGAGGAGATAAAAACCATCGCTCCTAAGAATATCCTTCAATTCTTGTCCCTGACG